CCCCAGACATCACCCCATTTCCATTCACTAGGCCTCACCCTGCAGCTGGTGACTGAGGCTGTCGCTGTGTCTTTGTCATATTTTTCCATGTAGTATGTGACTAGGAGCCTGTAAGGCAGCCAGGGTAGTGGGCATGGGGGCAGAGCTTTGGAGTCTAGGTCCAATTCTGCCACTGGATGTCAGGCAATCTTGGATGACTGATTCTCAGTAGCTGCATCGATAAAATGGGGGGAATAATATTTGCCTGGCATGATTATAGTAAGGATTAATTTGCAGATACTTCATATGTATTTGTTTCCTCTCTTTTCAGCAAAATAAAGATCTCCCCATGGGCTGCCCACAGGGAGAGCCTTGAAGATAGCCTGCCCAGAGCCTGGAAAGGCCCGAGCCAGCCCTTTAGAAGGCTCCTGAGCCTTTTATCTATCTTGTAGCTGCTTTTGGGTAATGAGGACTAAAGCAGGAAGCTGAGATGGGGGTGCTCGTTGGCTTGGGACAAAGAGGGGATTTGGTGTGGAATGGTGTGGAAGAAGAGGGGGGAAGGCGAGGTAGCTGCCAAGGAGAGGACTCTGGGGGCGAGAACTGAAAGGCTTAAAGCAGTTTATGAGGTTTGGTTGCATGATGTGCAATGTCAGCTCTCTCCCCGGCCTCCCAAGAAATCTTCAGCAAAATCTCTGTTTCTTGTTGGATATGGTTTTCGAGCTGCATCAAGGTGCTGAGTGTGGGCTCATGGTGGACACACTGGGAGAACAGAGCCTGCCCCGTAGCCTTGCTTCCCCCCAGGCCGTGTACGTAGTAACAGTGGCCCTCTGGAAATAGGCTGAGTGGGTCATTATGATGTTCCTCAGACTGAAAGGAATTTGCACCTGGACACAATGGTGACAGGAGAAGGTTACAAGTTGCAGGTTTTGGGGGGGGGGGGGCGTTGTTATAACTATTCATAGTCATCTTTTTCATAATAAAAATTCTCTAGGTTGAAAGGGGATGTCTGAGCAATTTGAGAGGACAAGATGGGCCAAGGCATGATGGTGGGAAAGGGCTGAGCAGCCAGGGGAGAGGCTAGGGTGGATTGGCAGTAACTCCATGGTCAGGGGCCTCAACCATCAGGCCAGGAGGCCGAGGCAATGGGGAGCATGCTGGTGGAAGGTGACTTGGTGTGTCTGTGCTTCATGTAAAGACTGGGGACCGGACGGACCCATGGGGAATGGAGGCAGGGAGGGCATCAAGGAGGCTGGTGCTATCTCGGAGGACGGTGGTGATGAGGCCTGGACAAAAGCAGAGACCATTGTAGTGGGCTGGACGGGACTTGGTGATTGATTGTAGGGATTGGGGGAGGGGTGTTGTGGGAAGGACATGGAAGAAAGGGTGACCACTCCTGGTTCTGGACCAGGCAACAGAGCAGAGCACAGTCAGGGTGACCTGTGGTTCATCGAGGAGATGCCCAGCCAGTAGCTGGATCCTAGAAGGAGAGGTTCCGGTCAGGAGGAGAATTGCCATGAAGACCTCACTCTCCTGGTTATAGAATGGGAGTAGTTACACCTACCTTCCAGGAGAGGGCGCGGTAGCCTACATGAGCCAGTGTCCAGGAAGGCACTTTATAAACAACTGCACATCACCTATGTGTCAATTAATGGAAAATGCAAATTTCTGGAGGCTGGACAAAACTTTGAAACATGCTGACATCGGCAGGGTCCTTTGAATGAGGACAGGACCCTGAGACTTGCTGTTCTCACTGTCCTTCAGTCATCAGGGCATTTTCCCCAAGCAAGACTCCTCCATGGGACGGGGTCCCACTATCACCGTGTGGATCGCCATCCAACCTCCCCTGGCTGGGGCCGTCTCACCCAGGGAGCCTGCGGGCTGAGGAGAAACCCCAGGAATCTCCAGGGTTGCTGCAGGGACTCCTGGTTCTCTCTGGAACAACTTGCCTGCCCCCTAGTGGATTTCTGAAGAATCTTTAGATTTATGAAACATCCTGGAAGGGGACCTTGGAGATTCAGTCCCACCCTGTCCATATGACGGGGAGACTGGGGTCTCCAGCAGGAATGACTTGTGCAAGGAAGCCTAGGGCAGAGCCGGGACAAGAGGCGGCATGGCTGACCCTCAGGAAAGAACACGGGCTTAGGCATCCTAAGGGAACTTCAGCTCCACCCCTTGTCCAGTCCATCTCCTCACAGGGCCTCGCTTCCTCACTCATCAATGGGGGTGGCGGCACCCACTTCCTACGGCTGCGACGACAGCTCCCCGAGATCCTGCACACCATAGGTGCTCAGCACATGTGCCCCCCACTGCCTCATCCCTGCACCTCCCCCATCAGACTACCTTCCAGCAGCTCTAATCTGGATTTTTATGCATATGGATTTCCTTAAAGTGAGGTTCACCTGCCACCGCAGCCGCCTCCTCCACCTTCCCCACCCCATTCTACTTCTTCATCCCGATGACCTTCACTGGCCAAGTCTGTGCCCAACCCTATGCCAGAGGCTGGGGTCACAGACAGAGCGCTTAGGTCCACCCCTGCCCTCGGGAAGTCCCCCCACACAGGGCCACATCCAGAGTGTGGTCAGTGCTGGAATGGGTAGCCAGCGGCTGAGGGGTGGGGAGGGCTTCAGGGAAGGCTCATTGGAGGAAATGGCAGAGGAGCTGAGGCTTGAAGGGTGTCATGGATTGAATTGTGTCCCCCCAAAATATCTGTCAACTTGGCTAGGTTATGATTCCCAGTATTGTATGATTGTCTACCATTTTATCATCTGATGTGATTTCCTTATGTGTTGTAAACTCTATCACTATGATGTAACAAGGTGGATTAGTGGCAGTTATACTGATGAGGTCTACAAGATTAGATAGTGTCTTAAGCCAATCTCTTTTGAGATATAAAATAGAGAAGAGAGCAGAGACACATGGGGACCTCATACTGCCAAGAAAGCAGTGCCGGGAGCAGAGCGCGTCCTTTAGACCTGAGGTTCCTGTGCTGAGATGCTCCCAGACCAAGGGAAGACTGATGCATCACAAGGACCTTCCTTCCAACAGAGAGAGAAAGCGTTCCCCCGGAGCTGACGCCCTGAATTTGGACTTGTAGCCTACTGAACTGTGAGAGAATAAACTTCTCTTCATTAAAGCCATCCACTTGTGGTGTTTCTGTTTTCTGTTATAGCAGCACTAGATGACTAAGACAAAGGGTGAGGAGGAGTTGGCCAGAAGAAGTGGGAAGCAGATGGGCCGAGAAGAGCACTCCAGGCTGATGCAGGCTGATGGAGGTGAAAGTGTCCATCATAGCGTGAGGGACAGTGGTGCAGAGAGACAAGACAGTGAGGAAAGCCCATGGCTTGCTCAACGCCACCAACGCAAGGTGTGCAAGAACCCATCTAAGCATTAGGTAACTAAGTCCAGATGCAGAGAACAGCAGAGGAGAAGCTAGGCTGGAGACCTCAGGAGCTGGCCCTGTAGGAGGGGAGATTGTTCATGAAAAGCCTCTGGGCCAGCTTGGAGTCAGTTGTTCATTCATTTGTGCCCTCATCTATTCAACCTCCCTCCTAGTGCACACCTCTTGCTGAGCATTGGACCAAAGCAATGAACTAGACAAGGTTCCTGCCATCAGCAGGGGTCAAGCATGGAAACTACTAATTACATACAGAGGAGTGTTGGGAAAGGTTTAAAGAGGAGGTGACTTCTTAGTTGCCCTTTGGAGGATGTATAGGAGTCCACCAGATGGAAAAAAGGTTTATACCTTTTATGAGCATCCAGGTGGAGAAAACAGATAGAGCAAAGGTGTGGCATCATGAAGGGCTTGGGGAAGAGTAAGCAGTCTCTTGTGGCCAGAGAATTGGGTGTGTAGGGTGCAGATGAAGTGGGATTAGAGTGTGTAGGGCCTTGATTGACACATACATGCACACACATACACATAAATGCCCACATACATGTGTACACACATACATGCACACATGTGCATGAACACATGTACCACACACAGAAGCAGCTGGGCCTCTGTGGGCACTGCCCCAGATGAAACATTTCCCAAAGAACCCCCTGTTTGAAATTTCAATGAGAGCTCTCCCCTCCTGAGGGGTCTTTTGAAGAAGGCTGAGTTTGTTTAGGGCTTAACCTGCCCCCTGGCCCCCGGCCCTCTCCCCTCAGCCTGGGAAATGAATCCCACATGTGCCAGATCTCCCCACTCTGAAATCACCAGCCGGTCTTTGGTAAGCACTCTTTGATGTCGGAAGCTAGTTTAATGAGTTGGTTGTGGGTTGTTTTTTTTTTTTTTTTCTTTTTTTCTGTAAGACAGAAGTCTCATTTTTACTGACAGCCAAGAAATTCTTACCTCCCTCCTCCCCTGCCCTGAGATTCTGGGAACCCAAGGTCCGGACTCTCGACACAGTGCTCGCAGATGCCCAAAGGCTTAGGCTTGATGGGGAGGAAAGGCAGGGAAGGAGACGGCATGCTCGGAGAGTTCTCTGTGGGCCAGGCCCTGTGTTAGGGACTTTTAAAATCCTCCTCACACTCATTTTAGAGCTGACAGAGCAGGCTTTTAGAAGTGATATGATGTGAGTAGGTAGCCTGGCTAGGCCTGGAGCCCACGTCTGCCGGCTCCAGCCCCTGGCTCTGGTCTTGCCTCTGCCCCAGGTTGCCAATGACCTCCTCCCTCTGAGCTTTGGACACCTCTGCTGTAAAATGGGGACGGTGTTCCCTGATGGGAGGAATAATGAGCTCTCTTAATAATGAGCTCTCCACATAAAAACAATTTTCAAAAACAAAGTGCTTTGTGAACGGAAGGGACTATTTCTGTTTTCATTGTTTTTCTGTCAAGAGGCCAGTTTACCCCTAGGATTCATACCGGAATGCATCAGTTAGTATCGCTCTAGGGCACTTGTTAATGAGCATCTGGCTGGCCACCGGGGAGCTCAGCGCATGAATTCTTTGAGCAGAGTGGAGCAGGGAGAAGGGGTGGGGTGTCCAGGCACAAGAGCCTCTGAGGCTGGTCCAGGCACATGCCCACCCATTTCCTCTCCTCAGGGCAGGGCCAAGGGCTTTCCTGAGCTTCGGGTCCCAGCCGTGCCGTGGTGCGCTTTGGCAAAGGCCACCTTGATTTCTTGGTTTATGAAGTCCTGCCAGGGGTCTCTGGGGGAAAAGGGAGAAACAGTTGTAATAAAACCACCACCACCACTGGCAGTGCAGCCCCTCTCACTTTGTGTCTCCTGGTCCTTGCAGCAGCCCTGTCATGGGCCCACTGTGAGCCCCCTTTGACTTTGGGGACTGAGGCCCAGAGAGGGGAAGTGTCCGATCTGAGGCCATACAGTATGGACGCGTGTGCATCTGTGGCTTCAAGCCCAGTGGCCCCCAGGAGATGGAAGATAACCCCAGCTCTGCTCCCTTCTCAAGATGTGATCTGAGAGGTCTGAGGCCGTGGATGAGAGGCTCTGGGACTCTCTGGGTGTTAAGCAAATCCTGGGCGGGGGCACTGGACTCCCACCCTGCAGTCACTTTCATTTTCTCACTTGCTGCCCACAAGTGTCTGGAGAAAGTTGCTGTTGTTAAGTGCTATCGAGTCCAACTCATAGTGACCCCACGTGACAGAGTACGGGAGCAGATCCCCAGGTCTTTTCTCCCGCGGAGCGGCTGGGTGAGTTCAAACTGCCAACCTTTTGGTTAACAGCCAAGTGCTTAACTGTTGCACCACTGGGGCTCTTTGGAGAAAGATAGAGCTGGGTAATGGATTGAATTGTTTCCCCCAAAAGTCTGAACACCTGGTACCTGTAAATGGGACCTTGTTTGGAAATAGGGTCTTTGAAGGTGTTAACAGTTAACATGAAGTGGTACTGGAGTAGGGTGGGTCCTAATTCAACAAGCAGTGTCATTATAAAAGTGGAGAGACACAGAGTTAAAAGGCCCCATGTGAAAACGAGGCAGAGACAGAGTTACAAGGCAGCTGCAAGCCAAGGATCGCCTGGAGCTTCCAGAAGGTGGGAGAGATAAGAAAGGATCTCCCTAGAGCCTTCAGGGAGAGCATGGCCCTGCTGACACCCCGAACTTGGACTTCTAGCCTCCAGAACTGTGAGACAATACATTTCTGTCATTTTCAAGCCACCCACTTTGTGGGACTTTGGTACAGTAGCCCTAGGAGACTAATATAAGCCTTTACACTGAGCTGGAAACAAGGCTTCACAGCACGCTGGCAAGGAGCAGACGTTTGAGAAAGGGCCGCTGTGACCTGTGATGGGAGGCACTTCTGTGTGCACTGCTGCTTGGGTGGGGATGGGGGCTTTTGTCCCCTTCCCCTGATCTCTACCAGCTTCCCAAACATTCTCAAATGTAAAAATAAATTCTGCAGATACGGAAAATACCTAAGATGAGGATAAAAGCATCTTTTGAAAACTACTTTTTAAAAAAATCAAGCCACAGCATACAATTCAAATAAAAATTAGTAACTATCTTGTGAACACAAAACAGTTTCCCCTGCAACTGGTACCGAAAGCCCTGGAGCCATCATCTCCAGACTGTGTCTGTCTATGATCTCATCTCCAGGCATGTGATGTTTCCATGCATGTGCGTATCTGATGCTCATGATGAGTGTTGTGTGTGCGCACCCGTGTGTGTGTGCATGTGTGTGTGCATGCGTGCGCCTGCGCCTCTGTGAGCGCTCTAAGTCCATGTGTCTAGGTGGATGCAGGGGTTCTCCTTTGTCTGCCTGGAAGCCTGGGAGGCTCCCACGTCAAGTGGTGCTCGCTGGGACTAATCTCTAATCTCCTCCCTCCCTGAGCCAAGAAGATGAAAACATCTCTGGCACTTTCTAAAGTTTCTGTCCAGGAGTGGAAAAGTCATCAGCTGAGGGAGCTGGAGATGACAAATGGCTGGCAGACCCTCCCGGTTCCCAGTCTGAGGATGGGGTGGGCCAAGAGTACTGGAAGCTGGGCTTCCCACCACCTACACAGACAGGGCCCTGCTGGTGCACAGAAGACGCGGTAGCTCATGTTCCCCGTGTGCTGGCCACTGATGGACTGCCAGGCGCACCAGCCGTCCAGAAGCTCACAAAGCTTATATGGGCAGGAGAAAGTTCCATAAATGCATCAACAGAAATATCAGGCTATGGATATTTCTATGTGCTATGGAAAGCACAAGGAGCCCTGGAGGTGCCACAGTTATGTTCTCAGCTATTGACCGAAAGGTTTGTGGTTCAAACCCACCCACCTACTCTGTGGGAGAAAGACCTGGTGATCTGCTGCTGTAAAGATTACAGCCTAGAAAACCCTATGGGGCAGTTCTACTCTGTTACGTGGGGTCGCTGTGAGTCGAAAATTAACTCAACGGCATCCAACAACAATAACATGGAGCCCACAGTGCTGGGCTAGATGGGATGGGCTAGAGGATGACAACTGAGATGGGCTCAGTTTAGCAGGGCTTCAGCATCTGAGACCTGAATGACAGGAAGGGACCAGGGAGGGGAGGGCCGTGGTGGGGAGGAGAGGAGCTGGCAAAGGAGACTGAGGCAGTTGAGCGGGAAAGGAGGGAGTACAGCCGGGCAGGTACCAGAGGCCTGGCCAGAGAAGAGTGTGTTTCTAGGAAGAGAAGGGGAAATGTGGCTGAGCAGTCGAGTTGAGAACTCACACTGCCCATGAGTCTAGTGACGTGGATGGAGGTCTCTGGTGACCTTCCCAAGAGGTGGCTGTGCTGGTGAGGGTGGAAGTCAGACTGCGGGGGTGGAGGAGGGAGTGGGCGTGAGGAAGTGAAGTCAGCGTCAGCAGCCACCTTCTGAGAAATGTAGCTGTCAAGTGGGGTGGAGGGCTGGAGCCTTCAAGGTCAAAGGAGGGCTTCGTGTTCACAGGGTGCCAGGAAGATGCAGGGAGGAGAGGACTGGGATGTAAGAGAACGGGGCAAAAAGGACCACAGTCCATTCTGCTGGGAAGTGGGGTGGGGAGAGGCTGTGGCTGCTGTGACACTTAGGAAGAGAATTGGACTCTAAGACAGTCGCTGGAAGGGCCCTTGGAGCCAGGCCCAGGAGAGGAGAAGGGACTAAGGCACAGCACCAGTCAGTGCCCAGACCTGATCCCCGTCCTCACACCACACTGCTCCCGCAGCAAGCAGCCCAGGCAGAGACTGGAAAGCTGAAGAACCTGGGCCGGGTGGAACCTCTCTGTGAGCACAAGCTAGTTCTGCACCCAGGAGGCCAGTGTGCCCTTGTTTACACGGCCATCTGTGTGCTCTGTGCCTGGAGCCTCCTTTGTATGCCAGTGTCTGCTCATCCCTCCCTTTTTCCTCCTTTCATTCCTCCCTCCCTCACTGGGAGCCCCTCTCTGTGGGGCACTCAGGAATGAACACAGGCAATCCCTGCCCTCAGCATTGCTCTGCCCCTGTTCCCTGGGGTCCTGAGGCCGTAGGGGACGCTGACAGCCAGGCAGAAAGGAAATTGCTTCCTGCCAATAGCCCCTTGAAGGACGTTCAGCCTGGGCTGCTTCAGCCCTGGTCATTTTCCCAAGACGCCCACACGTGTCCCACACATTTCTCATCTTTGAGCAACGGGAAGGGGTCATCCTGGAAATGCTGGAAGGAACCAGTCAGAAGTTCCAATGAAGGGAAAAATCTGGGCAGGGAGACAACAAGCCTGGACTTGGGTTTACACCCTGACACAGTCATGCTGTGAGACCCCAGTGGGGCCTTGCCCATCTCTGAGCTCAGCCTCCCCACTGGTGGAGTAAGCCTGTAGGCCTCTGTGGTCCCCGAGGCCTTTCTCCTGGAAATGACACTACAATTCTCAACAGCCGGCAACGTCTGTGCCCCTTGACCTCCGCCTGCTGTGGACTGTCCATATTTGTGTGGAAGGGTGTGAGGAACAGCACGCTGGAGAAAAAATGTGATTGTTCCCCTGACTCTACCCATGTTCCCCTTGGCAAAGGACATGGGTCCCAAAGGACAAAAGAAAGAGCCAAACTCTGCGGGACAGGCACAAGCTCTCTGAGAGCCGGCTTCGTTTGGCCCCTAAAATGTGGGTGCTCTTTGATCTATAGGTTTCTTGTCTGAGGAAATGATCTGAATGGTGACAAATGCACAATGATACTTATCAACTCATGGCCTGTAGTCAGCTCAGAATACAAAGATTCTAAATGCTCCACATAAGAGAAAGGCTGAGCAAATTGTGGCACACCCACATGTTGCAATCTTGATGCAGCCACTACGTGTGTTTATCATGTGCTCTGAACAGTATGGGAAGGTGCTCAGGACACTGAGTTGAGAGCACAGAACAGAATGTAAGATGATCTAAGCAGCGTGAGCTCATCCGAGCCAAACGCTTCAGAAACAGGCTGGAAGGAAACGTGCTGAAATGCTAACGTGGTTGTTTCTCAGGAATGGAAAGATGGTGATTATTTTCATCTTTGAACAATTTTCAATTTTCCAAGTTTTCCACAATAGGCAAGTGTGATGGGGTGAATGTGTTTTGCATGTGACAAGGACATGAATTTTGGGTAACCTAAACTATGAGCAAATGACTTTCTGTTTGTTAAAGCCATCCACTTGTGGTATTTCTGTTATAGCAGCACTAGATGACTAAGACAGCAAGTAATAATTCTATAGTCAGAAAAGTAACAAATATGAAATAATTAAAAAAAAGAGTCCAGGCTTTTGGGGAAATCCTTCCTACTCACCCAGGTTTGATGTCCAGAGGTGTGGGGAGGGGTCTGGGGAAGCCTGCCTTTCCTGCCAGCCAGTAGGTTTCCTCTAGGCCCTTCCCCTGGAAGAGAGAAGACAGAGGTGAAAGGCCCCTCTCCACGCAAACCTTCTCAAGCTGAATAATGAGGCCAGAGTTGCATGATTCCAACAGCTCAAGCAGCAGAGAGCCTGGAGCCAGGCTGCCTGGGTTCAAATCCTGGCTCTGCTACTTACTAGATGTGTGACTTTGGCTAAGTTACTTCACATCTCTGTGCCTCCACTTCTTCAGTATCTCCGAGAATCATTGTGAGGATCAAATGAGTTAACATCTGTTAGATAAATAAATAAGCATGAATTCCACAACCAGAAGATCTGGGATACTAAGATCCCAGGATTCTGTGATCTGTGATTCTCTCCAACTATCACTATTCAAGGACAAAGTAGGCTCTCCTGGGATGGCAATACAGCTGCCTAGGGGCTGGGAATGGAGGGGCATAAGGAGCACTGGGATCAGGGCTGGCTGGTCTGGAGACTCCAGACCCCACCCCAGGGCCAGAGCTTTCTGGGATAGGTATTGCCCTTTGGAGATCCCCAGGTCAGCCTGAAGAACCTGAGGTCAGTGTTCTGCCCTGCCCAGCCCCTCTCTAACTCCCTCTCTGCCACTACAGACCTCTTTTCCTCAGGATACCCAGTGCTGGCTCCCCTAAACAAGACACACCTGCCCTGACTTATCCAGCTCACTTTCCTATAACCTTGGCCATCCAGAACGAAGGGTCCTACATATACCTGCCGTTGCAGGCTGTGTGACCACAGACAAGTTGTTGTCCCTCTCTGAGCTGCACTGAAGTGAGTCCCATGGGGCACCCAATTTCTGGAGCCCAGTCACTGCGCCAGTCTCTAAATGCCTGGGCTGCTCCAGTCCCCCTACCAGGCCTGGCTGTAGCTGAGGAACTGGGGAACGAGAGGAGGCTGGTTCGAGAAAAGGCTTTCTTGGGAATACTGCACCATTACCTTTACCAAATGTTAAGATTAAAAAAGAATGCAGAGGTTACAAAACCCACCTTTGCCTTTGAGGTGCTCATGGACAAGTACAACTCAACATCATACCTACCACACAGGGGGCTGGTCATGGGACTGGGGGTGGTGCACAGAGATGGCATGATAGTCACTGTTGGGGGAAAGGAAGACGAATGGTGTTCTTGGGTCAGGAACACCCTTGGTCATGTCTGGACTAGGCTTCTGAGGGATGAGTAGGAGCCCAATAGTGCTATGGAGAAGTCACAGGCTTTGGAGCCACCAGACCTGGGTTATGAGTTATGTGACTTTGGACAAGTACCTTGCCTCTCTGATTTTATTTCCTCAACTGCAAAATGGAGACAGTGATCCTCTTTTCATGATTGCTGTGAGTGATAAATACATGTTGCCCAGGTAAGTCATCAATGGAAGTAATTTCTCTGTCCTGGCCCTTTTCCTCACAAGGAGCCAGATGAGGGAGTGGGTCTCAAGAAGAAATGTTTCCTTAGGATTTGGGGACTTTGGGGAACAAAGAGGTCATGTAAAGTTGATCACCTCCATCCCCAACTCCAGGCAGGCATTTCCTTTAGCCACATTAATCAGATGAAAATCTCCCCGACTGCCCACAGAAACTGGACCCTTGTGGACTTTTCCTGCAAACCCCAGAAAATAAATTCTCTCACCTTTAGCTCAGTTTGACCTCTGATGTCAATTTTGTAGCCTTCATCCAAGCTGAGCAGTGTCTGGGCAGTGTTCCGGCTGACATGAATTCTGTATGCTGACAAGAAATGTAGTAAACAAGTCACTACCTGGTGGCAGCATACTGAATGTTTGGTAAAATCATTGAGAGTCTGTAACACCCCCAGTTTCAACCACACACACAATTCTGATTCGCACAATAGCCTACTCCTGGCCCCCTTAGCCCTTTAACAGATAGCTGGCCACTGAAATAGAGGCCCCGAGGAAAGCAAAGTACATATATTTAGTGTTAGGGGGAACTCAGAATAAACATAATGTCACTTGTAGGAAAGCCTCTGAAAACTGAGTCAGAGCAAATAAGTAGTTTTCGTTTTTCTTTTGAAGCAAGACTCCCCAGTAGGGCTGCCACATCTTGCACTGAAAAACATTAGGGAGCACACAAACTATGCAACCAAAGTACAGGCCCTAGGACCTCAGCCTTTTCAGCTGCTCTTACCAAGTCATCACAGTGGCTCCTGCTGCCAGCAAGCACCAAAAATGGCATTTAAAAAAACTGGAAAGCTCTCGTCATTGTAAAGATGAGGAAACCCAGGCCTAAAGGAAGAGCCTTTTGTTCAATGCAGGGCTTTGAACCTATTCCGGTTCGAACCCCTGCTGAGAATGTGCATTTCTAACAAGTTCCTGGGCAATGCTAATGCTGCTGGCTAGGGAAGAATTCTGAGAACCACTGCTCAGTGGTTCTCAGAATTTGTTATACATAAGAATCAGCTGGGGATCTTGTTAAAATGTAGATTCTGATTCAGTATATCTGGGGTGGAACCAGTTGAAGCCCTGGTTCAAGGGCACTAAGCAAGCCAGTTGCAAAGCCAGGGCTAGGACCTAGGTTACCTGCCTCTTGAGTCATTGCTTTCTCTGCCAATTTCCTCATGTGGTAATTGCAGAAACCTCATGGAAAATTAAAAGGACCAATGACATGCATCATCTCCTTAAAATTGCTTTACTGGCAAATAAAGTTCGCTGCCATCAGGTGGTGATTTGCTTACTAAGCACTGTTTCAGGGGTTATTGAGAAAGAGAGTAATTTCCCCCTGAGCAGGACGGAAGTGTAAGATACTCACGCAGCCCTGTGGACTCCATCCGGGATGCAGTGTTGACAGTGTCCCCAAAGAGGCAATATCTAGGCATGGTGAGGCCCATGACCCCTGCCACACAGGGCCCTGAAACCCAAATATGCTCAGTAAGCTCCAGCAGGTCCTAGACCAGAGAGAGGTCCAATGACAGCCCTGTCCTTCCCCACCAACACTGCCATTCCCTACCCCACGTCCTGGACTCCAGCTTTGCGGGGTGGGGGTGAAGATGAAGTTATGGAGTCTTCTCAATAAGCAGAGAGAAGGTGACACCTGTACCAGGCTCTGGATTGAGAGTGGGGGACACAGATAAATCAGAGCCAGTCCCTGCCCTTGGGGAGCTTCCAGCCTGGTGGAGGGAGACTTGTAAACTGTGATCACTGCTGTGATGAGGGAAGCACCAGGGTTGTGCCAGCCCAGAAAGGGCCTCTGACCCAGCCCAGAAGACTTCCTGGAGGCAACGCATAAGCTGTGTCTAGAAGGATAAGAAAACAGCTGGGCAGGGAACAGCAGGTGCAAAGGCACAGAGGCACAGAGCCCACATGTCCATGGGAAATGGAGGCAGTGAGTAGCGAGTATGGATGGAGAGCCAAACAAGGAGCTGTGGGAGATGAGATTGAAGAGGTTAGCAAGGGCCTTGGGGGCCACCTGGGGGAACCTGGGCTTTATCCTGTGGGTGAGGGGAACCGTATAGGGAGAAAGGGGTGGGGGTCAGGGCATGGAAATGATATATTAGAGACCCTGACTTCTCTCCAGACCCACCCCAGCAAACATTTAGTTTTTTGCGTGACCACAGGTTTCTATCCTACCTCTTACTTCAAACTATCAACTCCTCAAAATGGACTTAGATGCCCTTGACAGATGCTGAGACAAAAAAAGAGAGAGATTTGAATCTGAGTATTACAGGGATTCTTTGATTTTTTTCTTTTTTCTTTTTCTATCATATAGTCTATCTGTGTGGCTCCGCCTCAGATGGGTGGACCAATGTCCAGACCACAGGGAGGGCGGGGGGAGTAGTAGAAATCCCCATGGTGGCCACTCATCCAGACCACGTTCTCTGAGCTTCTACAGCTGACATCTCGCCCTCCACTTGCCTGACGCCTGCATCTATTTCTCGGTTGGCTCCAACCTGGAAGGGAAAGTGTGGTGTCACAGAATTTTAGAATCTAAGAATTCCAGAAACATGAAACTGGGGGGAGCCCAGCCAATGCCCAGGGAGGGTTGGGGGACTGGTCTGGCCCATCGCCCCGTGGTCCCCAGTCCATACCTGAGTGCAGACCAGCCCTGACACGAATGGGCACATCAGGTGTATGCCTCATCTGGAAGTCGCCCACAGAGCTGACAATGTCCAGGGCCATGTTGGTACTATTATTATTGCCATTTACAGATAAGAACTGGCCAGAGAGGTTAAGTCACTTGCCAAGGTCACACAGCACAGTCAGAAAGTGGATAGGAACTTGATTAGTCCAGCTCCAGAATCCTCTGATGTATGTGGCTTGGGCCCTCTCTCTCTTTTAGGGAGGATTTGCCTACCGCATAGAGTGTTTGCTCCGCTTGTGTCCTGCACATGGTCAGCATGCGTGCATTAGGGCCTGGACTTGCCTTCTGGAAGCAGCTCTGGAGACCTGCTGCTCTCTAGCCCTGCTACTGGCCAGGCAGGTGTGCAGCTGTGATTCAGGGACAGTGCACCTGCTCTGGGACCCAGCTCTGCCTCAGAAGAGTACCCCAAGGTCCAGACTAGGCAGGGAGGAGGAGGAGCAGAAAGCCCCATGGTGGCCATTCAGCCAGACCACTTTCTCCAAGCTGCTCAGGCTGACATCTAGCCCTCCACCTGCCTGACACCTGCATCTCTCAGTTGGCTCCTAACTGGAAGGGAGAGTGTGGTGTCATTAATCATGCCCCCTGCATTCCCCAAAGACAGAAAGATGACCAGAGCACAGGCCCTGCTCTCTAGGAGCTCAGACTCAAAGGCAATGCTCTCAAAGATGCCTGTCACAGTGACACTCTGCTGCAAGAACGAGTGGCTCCTTATATACAGGCGTGGCTCCTAGTACAGACTGAGGATGCAGTCCAAGCAGTAGTGAGAGCCAAAGTTTGCATACCAGCAGACACGGATGTGAATTCTAACTCTAACAATGCCTTGTTGTGTGACCTTGGGCCAGTCACTTACCCTCTCTGAGCCTGTGTCCTTGTCAGTACAGTGGGGCTAATGATCCATCCCTCTGAGGGGCCTTGAAAGGGTGAAATGAGATACCCTGTGAAAATTCCTAGGCTTGGCCAGCACTCTTCATAACTAACGCCAGTGCCTCTCCCCTGCTGTGCTTTCGGGGCAGGCCTCAGTCAAGCATGGAAGGTGCTTGACATGATCTTGGTGAATGAATGAAGGACAGCACTTTCTCTCACTTTACTTAATTTTCAGAACAATCCTAAACAGTGGGCACTTCGATCCCTGTTTTAGAATGGGGAACCTGAGACCCAGAGAGGCGGAGTTGAGTTGCCCAGGGTCTCGAGGCAGAAGGACCAGGGCAGGACTGAAGTGGGGGATAGATCTCTCCTCTCCAGCAGCCCACACGGGCTCTGCTCTGGAGCTATGGCCATAAAAGTGCTCACTCAGCGAGTGCTGGGAGGGATTCGCAGACCCCTGCAGAACCAGGAAATGATTGCCTGGCTGCCTCCCAACCCAGACTGGATTAAAGAACAGTAACCACATCCCGGTGGGGCTGGAGGGGAAACCGAGGCGGCCGGTGTGAGTGATGAGAGACTCGCTTGCACATCATGAGGAGCAGGCCTCCTGTTTTCCCACATCTGGAGGGGTGTGCGGACCTTGTTTTCTTTCATTTCACTCTGCCAGAAAGATGCAGACCTCTTGGCCAGAGTTCAGAGCACATCAGAAGACATGATTCAGAGCTGGGAGGCACACATGTGTGAGAAAAGATTAGCAGGGGAGGAAGAGACAAGGCCAGGGGTGACTCAGGGGCAGATCAAAGCTGTGGGGCTCAGCGAGACAAGATGAGGAATCTTTTCCTGGGGCTCATGGGGCCAGGGCGTCTCTGGAGACAAGAGGGAAACTCAGCCAGCACCAGAGACAACACCTCGGAACCGCAGGCTGAGGTGGGGAGACAGGATCCTGAACGTGAAATCAGAGGGAAACTCATCCTTGGAATGCTGGGGGCTCAGGACTCCACGGGCCATGTTGGGCAGTGTGGTGGAATAGCCAGAGCTGGGCTGTGGTGTGGACATTGTGAGTTTCTGTTCTGGCCCTGCTGCCTACTGGCTGTGTGACCTCAGGCAAGCCACCTCCCTCTCTGGGCCTCAGTGTCCTCCTTATTCAGTTAACATGTATTTCCTGAGGACCTACTAGTGTTTGACACTGACGGGCACTGCAGACAGAGTGGTTTATGGCGAAAGACATAAAGTGCAGAGGTGCTATCCAGGCCAACTTATGAAAGCATCAAACAGAAGCTCTGGGAGGGCAAGGAAGCTAACCTGAGGCCAGAAGGACCACCACGAGGGAGCCATGGGGAGAGAGGGAAAACAGTTCCAGGTGGTAGAAACAGCATGTGCAAAGGCCTGGTGGCTAGAGAGAGCAAAACATGTGCGAGAAATATATGTCTGCAGAGGGGGAGTTGCCAAAGATACAGGTGGAGAGGTAGGCTGCGCCAGCTCCTGGAGTGCTTGTGGGCCACTATGAACCTCTGGCTTTATCCTGAGGGCGCCAATGGTGAGATGCAGTAGGGTGTGTGACCTTGGCATCAGAACACCCAAGCTCAAATCTAAGGTCCATATCCCACTGGGACTATGTCATTAGACAAGTAGCTTAACCTCTATCACCTCGGTTTCCTCATCTATAAATTAGAGGTAACATTACCCACCTCATAGATTGTTATGACGATTAAGGTTAATATATACAAAGCTCTTAAATCAACTTGTAGTATAAAGTAAGCACTAGTAAGTGTTGCTGATTATTATTGTTGGGATAATGTAAAACACTGTCAGCAGAGTGCCTGACATCTCATAGTGTTAGTTCTCTCCTCTGAAACATCCTGCCCAGGCATCCTTTCCATCCTGGCTGCAGCCCTCAGCCCCAGTCTTCACCTGCCCCTGCCTCCTTGGAGGGTTGTGGCTGGAAGGGGGCTGGTGGGTCACAAACAAAGGCTAAGGACCATGGACCTGAAAGTGAGTGTTTCCTGGGACCACCTTCTCCACGTCCTCCACTGTGTCCGAAGCTGACCCAAGGCCTTAGCTCTTGGATCACAACAAGGGTCAGGGTCAGGGTGGGGAAAGTCCCCAAAGCAGGGAGTAGAGCTGAAGAGTCGAGGGCAGGAGGTTATTCACCCTCACTACCTCACAGTGGACACAGCACTCTGCATGGGGGCTAGGACTCTCCTTCCATTCAGTGAGCCCTCCAGGACTGGAGTCATTATTCCCGCTTTACAGATGGGGAAACAGAGGCGCAGAGAAGGAAAGACATTTGTCCAAAGTCACACAGAAGCTGGGGGCCAGGCTGGTGGTCCAGGACTGAGAGGTGTGCAGGGCCTAGATCATGGATGGTCTTGACAGCTCCATATAGACCCTGCTGCCCTCGCCAGTGTCCCCGCCTGTCCTCCTACTGGCCCACTTCATGTTGAGCCACTGAGCTCATCCAGCTTGCCTCTGGTCATCACTCTCACTGTGGGTTGTCATCATCCTTTATCTAAAGAAATGAGAGCTCCTTGAGGGAGCCCTTGCCTAGCAAAGATCTGGCACAGAAAAGGCAGTCAATAAAAGCTTTTTTAAAGGCATAGATAGATGGACACATGGAGAGATGGACAAAGGACAAATGAACACTGTAGTCAATTAATTGCAAAATAAGCCCAGGCTGTCCGTCCTCCATTAATGCCCTTTGTAATGTAACTTTGCAGCTCCTCCCATCAAGAGGTAGAGTTTATTTCCTTAACCGTTGAATCTGGGCTGACCTAATGACTTGCTTTGACCAATAGAACACATCAAAAATAGCACTGTGTCCAGTCCCAGCTTAAATCTCAGGAGGTTTGTGTGCTTCTGCGCTCTCTCAGAACCCTGCCACCATCATGTAAACCATCCTGCCTGGAGGATGAGAGACCAGTGGACCAGGGCTGAGTTGTCCCGGTCAAGGCTCCAGAGATCGGAGAGAGCCCAGCCAAGATCAGTACAGCTGCCTACGTCACCCACAGCTGACCACAGATGTATGAGTGAGCCCATCTGAGTCCAGGAGAATTTTCCAGCTGACCCACAGGTTTGTGAGCAATAATAAATGCTTACTGTTTTAAGTCACTGGGTTTTGAGATTGTTTGTTACACAGCAATAGCTAACTGATACAAATGCATAAATAAATAAATAGAAGTAAATGTACAAGAGTAGAGAAACAGTAGGGAAGGAAGGATAGGTGGATGCCAGCCTCCTAGTATCCTCACCTTATATACATCATGGCTGCCCAGGACAGCATCAAACAACGTATAGAGGTCATTGAGCAAGACCACCACCTCGATGGGCTCACTAAACTCTGAGATGGTGGTGAAACCCACAATGTCACTGAAGTATATGGTAACCTGGTCAAAGTACTCTGGCTCCACAGTCACCCCCATTTTCAGAGCTTCGGCCACAGACCTGAAGGGACAGGAAAGGCCAGAGTCACAAGATAGAAGGATCTGTTCTTTATAGTTTGGAGGTAAGGGAGAGATATTTTGGGGGGAAAATCCTGGGTTGGGCATCGCGGGATATAGGAAAGGTGCTCTGGTGTGCTGGCTGCCCTCAAGCAAATATCTGTCCCTCTCTGGATATTGTTTTTGTCGGTTGCCGTGGAGTTATTTCCAACTCATAGCGACCCCATGTATGCAGAGTAGAACCGCTCCATAGGGTTTTCAAGGTTGAGACCTTCTGGAAACAGATTGCCAGGCCTGTCTTCCAAGGTGCCTCTAGGTGGGTTCGAACTGCCAACCTTTGTGCTAGTAGTCAAGCACTTAACGAATTGCACCACCCAGGGACTCCAACTCTGGACATTACTTCCTGTAAAGTGAGATGGGGACATTGTGACCTCCCCTTGCTCCCAAAGGTATGAGACCACAGAAATTCAACATTTGGGTGCCCAGAATAGTGCCTAGTACGTGATAGTTGTTGGGTGCCATCAAGTCAATTTCAACTCATAGCAACCTCATGTGACAGAGTAGAACTGCCCCATAAGGTTTTCTAGGCTGTAATTTTTCATGGGAGCAGATTGTCAGATCTTTCTCCCATGGAGCCACTGGGTGGGTTCAGACCACCAACCTTTTGGTTAGCGGCCGAGACTTAACTGTTGTACCACCAGGGCTCCTTAGCACATGATAAGGGCTCTATAAAAACATGTTGTATAAATAAGCAATGAATGAATGAATTCGTGGAACCCAGATTTACTGAGCACCTGCTATGTTCCAGGTTCCATGCTCAGAGCTGAGGCTAGTCACATCAAGTCCCAAGGACCACTCACGGAGGCAGCATCTGAGAGAGCAGCCTTTCCGTCTTCTGTCTCTCCAGCTCCAGCTCCTCAGTCTGCTCCTGGATCAGGTCCTCCAGGTTCGGGGAATACTTCTCCAGCATCTGCAGCATAGAGTCAGCAACCCTAGTTTTCTTGCCTTGGTTGACGCTTTTGAACTGAAAATGGAACAAAAATTTCAGTTTATTCATGAAGGTCAGCACACCAGGGCCTGAGCTGGAGTCTGGGGCCACAAGAGCGAACTAGACATAGTCCCTGCCTGGGGGAGCTGGGGTGTGCTGGGAGCAGATGAGTAAATAGACAGGAGGATGACGGCTTTGACGAGGGAAAAGCACAGGTGGCTATGTGGAGGGTGGACTAGTTCTGTGTAGGGTGGGCAGCAGGAAAAGGACTTTATGAAGGAGCCTGTGCCCAGCACATTACTGTTTGCAGACGTGGAACACTATTGTACTGATTCTCACAACACTGGAGTAAGCCTTTGTTTTTCAGATAGATGGATGGATGGATGGATGGATGAATGGATGGAAGGAAGGAATAGATAGACTATATGTAGATTACATATACATATGTGTATATATACATATATATAAATAATCTGTTTCTATTTTTACTTCTGTATCTATTCTTCTCCTTGTCCCAAACATTTTTTAAGTACTAAGAAAAATAAAAGTAGCACTACAAAATAGGAGCCCTGGTGGCACACAAACAGAAAAGTGCTCGTCCGCTAACTGAAAAGTTGGCAGTTCTAACCCACCAAGTGGCTCCAGAGCAGGAGAAAGACCTGGCGATTTGCTTCCACAAAGATTACAGCCAAGAAAACCCTACAGGGCAGTTCTCCTCTGTCACATGAGGTCGCTATGAGTCGACAACAACTCGACAGCACCCAACAACAACAACACTACAAAATAAAATAACAAATATGTGAGCTCATTGGGACCAAAGGAGAGTAAATGTAAAATAAACGAATAGTCAACCCAGGAGTGAGGTCTGTACATGAAATGCATGTAGACTGTGGTCACAATTTTGCATCTGAGCTTCTTAGCAGCAAAGCAAAGAGGGAAATATAAATTACACAACACAGGGGATCCATGAGACAGTGGACCATGAAACCAGTTGCCTAGCAGAAACCCAACTAGGGCTGCTGCTGAGCAGAGAGAAGTACCTCTCTCAGGTCTTCATACGAGCACACTTACGTGTAGTCATGAGTTACGTCTTCAGCAATAATCTTACAGGCAACACAACAGTGGGTTTCCTACGGAGACTTACTACAATCCTCCCCAATGCAAATTGCACCTTCCCAAAGCGCAGTCAGGGAGAAGCAAATCTATGATGGTCAAAGTAAAGGGCTCCATACCTGTCTTAATTCATCTGAAGCACGTGCATACATGTACGTGTACGTGTGGGTGTGCACGTATGTGTGTGCATGCGTGTCTGTGCATGTCCAACCTCCGTCAATGTCTGTGAGGTGGGGAGAGGCAGCAGCCCCCGGAGTACAGTTATTTCATATTGCCTATTAAAAGCCAAGACACAAGCTTTGAAGGTCAGTGGGGGTGAGTGTGACAGCTGCTAACCTTGAGAAGCCAGCAAGGACATGAAACTGGCTCCAAGGCTACCGCTGTATGGAGAGTCGCCATTTTATAAATGAAGAAACAGAGGCTCTGAGAAGTGAAATAATTTTCCAAAGACCACACAGTGGTGGAACTAAGTTTCAAACTGAGGTCTTTTATAAATTAATTTTATAACCAGACGCCCTATTGCTTATTTTATAATTTGGAATGATTTTTTCATTGCTTCTTTGGGGTTGCTGAGGGAGCACCATCATAGGATCTGCAAATAATGATCATCTTCTTCCTCCTTCCCAATACTCATTTTCTTATGCGGTTACATTGGCTAGTGCCCCAGAACAATGTCAAATGAACATAAATCCTATTCTTTTGACTCCAGATCAGTGCTCTTCTGTACCCTACTCATTACCTCCTTCTCAGAGAACTTTTTTTTTTTTTTTAATTAGTTATCTCATTTGATGGTCACACCAACATGGAGAGTTAGGCCAGGGTTAGTCTTTCCAGTCAGCATATAAGGAGGTGGAAGCTCAACAGAGCAATTAACTTGCGCAAGGTCAAATAGTAGGTAAGTGGCAGATTTGAATCTGGGCTTTCTGACCCTTATCCTCCCCAACGTGTGATGCAATTGCCACCTTCTACAACCTACAATCAAGGACGACCCATTGCCGTCAAGTCAATTGTGACTCATCGCGACCCTATAGGACAGAGTAGAACTTCCCATAGTGTTTCCAAGGCTGTAATCTTTATGAAAACACACCACCACATCTTTCTCCCACAGAGTGGCTGGTGGGTTCGAACAGCCGACCTTGTGGCTAGCAGCCAAGCATTAACCACTGCACCCCCAGGGCTCCTTTCCCAACTTCTACCTGCTGAACATATCTTGTGCCCATCTCAGCCTTCTTTGCCATTGAGCTTTAGGTAGGGATCTTTCCCACAGCAAGACCTCACTCAGGGCAACAACCTCCTCCTCCACCTCCTTGGCCATTGCCAATCTCCGACCCCTGGAAAGATTCTAGGCTGGTGTTTTAAAAACTGGTTGTCAAACAATAATTTAGCTTAATTAGTTATTTAGTAAAGAATGTCTGCCTTGAGCATTGTGCTCTTTTAAAGAACTATCTACATGTGATCAAATTGACAACAACTCAAAATGTTAGATAGGAAGCTTAGGGGGCAGTGAGTTTATGTTAACGGGGGAGGAGCAATTGGGGGGAAGGAGGGTGAGAATGGTTGTACCACTTGAAGAATGCAATCAATGTTACTGAATTGTACTTGTAGAAATTTTGTTGAATTGGTGTATGTTCTGCTGTTGTACATTTTCAACAACAATAAATTTAAAAAAAAAGAACTAGTTGCAAGCCCTAGCTCTGCCTCTCACCCTCACGGTGACAGCCTAGAGCTCATTCACTCTGAGGTCCGGATTTCTCATCTGTGAAATGGAGACATCACCCCCTGATGCAAAGCCAAGGTGGACAGGTGATGTGGAAACAGAGGGGACATGGGAAGGCTTTTTAAGACACTTGTGGGTTCCGCGCTTTCTGCCTTCCTGCCTCTCGCTCCCCCAACACCTGTCTGTACGCCCCCTCTCTCTCACTGAACCTCTCCTTGGCAACTTTCCCACTGTGGCTGGGGAGTGGCAGGCAGGAGGGGAGGCACGAAGATGTCACCTCAGGCTTGATGGGTTGGCCCTGTGAGAGCCATTAGACAGCTCAGTCAGGCCTACATACTCTACCACCATACCACAAACTTGTACAGACTCGCCTCACCCCTCCCACTGCAATCCCCAGTTCAGGCTTGGGGAGTTAGCCCCTCTCACAACTTCCACTCACTGACTCGGGGAACCAGCACGTCTCCACAGCCACAGTGGCCTCTCTGCTCTGATGCCAGGAGGCCCAGTACAGGGTGGGGGCTCCCAGCACCAGTTCTGCAGACAGACAAAACTAGGTTTGGATCCAGCCTTGCCTTTTACTCCCTCAGTTACCTTGGGCAGGTCCCCTCACCTCTCTGTGCCTCAGTTTCCTGTCTTGTAAAGCTCAGATAATAACCATGCTTCTTCACAGGGTTGTCATGAGGATTAAATGAAGCAAGCACAGCACTTGGCACAGGGTCTGACTCTCAGGAAGGCTCTCAACAAACGTTCCTGGAATCTGTGGCTCTGAGAAACCTTTCTTCAGAGGGTGGAGAGAGAGCCCTGTCCTCAGGGCCCCCTCAGGGGTAATGGTGCTGACCTGTTACCCCCTTACTGCATAGGGCTTCTAGGACCCAAGAAAAGCAAGGTAAAATGATCACCCTTTCTTGTGAGCACCCCAGCTCCTCCGGGGAGCACTAATCTGGTTGTAGATCTGGTCCAGGCTGGGTCTGTCCTCCGGAGCCTCCTCCCAGCACTGCTCCATCAGCTGGATGCACTCTAGAGGACCATGGTTGGGGGCCACCAGGGGCCGGCACAGAGGAGGGGGAGATGCCACCTTCCTGATGATTTCTGCAACAAACACTAATGGGGATGGTGTGCCAGAGGTTGCCAGGGGGGCTCATGGTAGGGGGTTGGCCTCGAACCCTCAGAGGGAGGGCAGGGAAGGCTAATGGGAGTGCAGGGGTCAGGCCCTGAGGACACTCCTCAGCCTCCCTATTCTGTGCCCCCAGGGTGTGTCGAGCCAGTGGACTCCGGGTTGCCACTGAGCTGCTGCTTTCCTTAGATCTGCCCCATGGTGTGGCCAGGGGACAGGTCTCAGAGCTGGGTTTGAATTCTGGATCTGCCACCACTTCTCTATGAGATGGTGGACCAGACAGGGACCTCTCTGAGCGTCAAGTCTCCCCATTGGTGAAATAAGCTTAGTAAACTCTGCCTTCTTGGGAGGGGTTCTGAGGGTGGAGATGACCGATAGTAGGTGGCGGGTTCCTAGTAGGTTTTTCCCCACCCCCAGGCCTTGCACAAACTGCCGCTGCTCTGTCCCCAGGGATGTTCACCCATGTGCCTGAAACCTTGACACTGTGGCTCTTCCCACCAGCCCTGCCACCTGGAGACTTTCTCGTGCCAGCTCCCTCCAGGTGTAGGAATATTGTCTACTTATCATCATCATCATCATTTCCCCAAGACAACCCCTTCCATAGACCTTTCTGTCCCCACCCTGTGTGGCAAAGACCACCAGACTAAGTCAAGGTCAGATAGATCAGTGTTCTAGTTCTGGCTCTGCTATTTGTCATCACCCTGTGCCTCAGTTTCGCCACCTAACGGATGATGGAAACAACCTCTACCTTGGGAAGTTGTTGGGGAGTCTAGGAGAGCTGAGAGATTCAAAAGTGCAGTGGGAAGAAAGGAAGGCAGTCAGTGGCTGGGACCAAGCTCAGGCTTTCGGGTCAGATGGATCAAGATGGGACTTCTAGATTACCCGACTACATTCTGTACAAGTTATGCCACTAATCTGAGCTTCCATTTCCATAAAGTGGGCATGATAATAGTACATAATTCATAGAGTTGTTATGAGAAGTAATCGGCTAATCCTCTGAGAAGGGAATCATGGTGGGGAGTTGGATCATTGGTGAGGAGGATCATGGCCTCGGAGCCAGTGAAGAGAAACGTCTTTCTGGATTTCAATCCCCTTCCCATTCCTTTGTTGGCCTCCTGACTGGGGGCACTGCATGGGCCCTGTTCCATTTTATAGACAGAAAGCTGAGGCTCTTAGAGTTAAAGTGGATCACCCATAGCCACCAAGCTGGTAAAAAGCAGACACTAGAGTCCCTGGGTGGCAAAAGGTTTGCTGTTCGAATCCACCCAGAGGCTACTCAGAAGAAAGGCTTGGCAATCCACTTCCAAAATGTCACAGCTATTGAAAACTCTATGGAGTGTAGTTCTACTCGGCAACACATGGGGTCGCCACGAGTCAGAATCAACTCAACGGCAACTGGTTTGGTTTTTGGTTAGAACTACAGCTGACCTCCCAGTCTTCAGGATTTCCTCTGCCCAGAGCTCCCCAGCCTGCAAGTCTCAGACCCCGAGACCCTCTGAGTCAGGGGTCTGGGAAGCTGTGTGTGCTTGCCAAGAGGTGTGTGCAGATGGAACCAATAATACATCACGCACACAGACAACGATTTTTGAAAAGTATGTGGATGGTGTTGTGATGAATAAAATACAAATCCATTCCGAAGTGTTGCTGATTTCAGAGCAGATCTGTCATTGGGTATTTTCTCAGTCAGCGGATATTAAAAGTCAAATAGCAGCACGTGAGGCTTCAACCTTTTTTGACATTACTATGGAGTCCTCGTACGCGAACATGCTGCGAAGAACAGCCGCAGGCCGGTCCGGGTCTTGTGTTTCCCGGCAGTGCCCTGCTCGCTGTCCACACCTCATACATCACCATGACTGATAGGGCACCGTGACAGAGGAAGCCACAGGTCAAGCTCCTCAGGGCCTGGTGGGGTTCCAGGAGTATCTTCCAAGGTTGACTTCAAGAGATTTTAGTGGCAAGAACACTGAGCTTAGATCAGGGACTTCAGCTCAAATCCCAGCTCCGCTGCTTCCTTGATAAGAAATCCCTTCCCCTTGCTGAGCCTCACTCAACTCATCTCTAAAAAGGGTGCAGTTGCCCACCTCACAGGGTTGTCTGAAGGCTCAAATGGAATAACATGTATGGAAAGTGCTTTGGAAACCGCAAAGTGCCATCCATATGCAAAAACAACCCAAACCCATTGCGTGGAGTTGTTTCCAAGGCTGTAAATCGTTATGCAAGCAGATTGCCACAGCTTTCTCATGCAGAGCGGCTGGTGGGTTAGAACCACCAACCTTTCAGTTAGCAGCCTAGTGCTTAACTACGACGCCACCAGGGCTCCTCGCCATCCACATATAGGACCTTAAACCACTGTTATTTCTAAGAGCAAGCAGGGTCTGCCCCCAAGTGGAAGAGTCAGGAGAGAGCCTGGGATTCCCATTAGCACACCCCTCAAACCACCCAGGCGCTAATGCATTTCACTGAATCCTTACAACTATCCTGGGAGGCAGGTACCGGGGACCACGTTTTACAGATGAAGAAACTGAGGTTCAGAGGCTAAAAGGGACTGATCCAAAGTCATGCACGAATGAGTGTGGAGCTGGGCTCAGGTCCTCAAGGCTTGTTCTCTTAACTCTGTGCGCCCTGGGGCCAGGAAACCACACCCCAGGAAGCTGCTGGCCCGGGACTGAAAGCCCCATCCAAGGATGGCCAGAGGGCTCTGAGCCTGGGTCCCTGCACACAAAGCCTAGTGGAGCCCGGGGCTAGAGGGCCTTGCAGTAGCCACATGGCTTGCAGATCCCATCTGGCTGCTGCTTCCCTCTCTCAGCAGGCAGCTGTAGGGGAGGCAAAACTCCACGTGACGAGTGTTGGACACATGGCCTGAGAAAGCCCCCTCGCCTTCCACTTCATAAATTTGGGGCCTGGAATGCTCATTATTCACTGGTAGTGGTCTGATAGATAAAGGAAGTGGGACTGGGTCTCCATGTGAGTTTAAGATAATCCATTGGGGGTAGGAAGGGGACAGTAGACTCAGCTCTGTCCTTGAAGCCAGGGTATCTGTGGGGGAGGTTACTGGGCCTGGGCAGTGGCAGAAGGGGGACATCTGGAAGAGCAACCTGGGGTCTCCCCGTCCAGGGACCTCTGACAGAGAACACAGAAGGGAAGAAAACTGTCTGAAGTTGGACCCTGGCACTGAGGCCAGAAGAGAGAAATTGTCTGCAGAGCAGGTGACCATGGGGAAGGTATGAATGGCCCAAAAGCATTGGGATGGGGATGCTCTTGAAAGAGCCCCACCTAAGCCAGGAACCTAGCCCCCAAATACCAAGCAGCCAGGCCACATCAATCATGCGACCGGGTGTCTGGCAAATTTTTACTGGATCCCGATTTCAGAGACGAGAAAACCAAGGCTTAAAGAGGGTACATGACTTGTGTAAGGTCACATAGCAAGTAAGTGAGGGAGCTAGGGTAGACTTGAGGTCTGTACGCACATAAAGTTCATGCTGGGGTCAGGGTTATTTCCAGGTCTATTTCCTGATAATCCCGGAGCATCCAGCTAGGCGAAGGCTCCAGCCAATGACAGGCCAGGAAAGGGGAGGAGGATACTGCACCTTCCGCTGAGAGACCTGAGCAGCGGTTGGGTGGGCCTCGAGTCAGCACCTCCTGCAGGATGATGCCAATGCTGAAGGTATCTCCTTTGAGAGTGCCCAGCCTGGGCCCACTGGGCACCCGCAGCAGCTCCGCAATCACAGGTTAGAGCCACACTGCTGGTCAGATGGTCAGCTGGCAAGCCAGGCACTTCACACATGTGGCCTCATTGCCCTCTCCCTGAAGCCCTGGGAGGATGTAGGCGCCTGTATGCTCCCCATTTCACAGGTAAGGACCCTGAGGCTCAGAGAGGAACGCAACCACACCACAGGAAGAGCCTGAGGGCTGGCGCTCTCTCCACTCAGCCTCGCCTCTTCAGGAATTCCCTAAGAACCTGACTTAAACAGAATCTACTGGCATCCCCCTACTCACCCTGAGCTGACCTTCTGGGGCTGGCTGGGGGCAGGGAGCCTGCTGAGCATCCAGGAGCTCCACATAACCATGGTCAGTGACCTTCAGCACAAAGCGTCTGTCCACTACACAGTTGCGGGACTTGAGGCGGCCATGAGGGAAATGACGATGGTGCAGATACCGCACACCCTGGGGTGGCCATATAATGGTCCGTTAGGCCTGTGAAGAATGAGAGGGGCATTGGACACCAGAAAACCTTCCCCCTCACCTCGCCCTTTGCCACACTATTCAGATTTTTCTCAGATGAAGTGGAAAGAGCCTAGGTGTGGGAAATCGGAACATCTCATCTCCTTGCCCTCCCACTGACCCTCACCACAGGGAGGAGCCTCACGCAGATCAAATCCAGCAGCAGGGAGGCCTTGAAAGTCCAGTCCAGTTGCAGGGCCTCGTTGCACAACAGGTCCTCCAGGCTGCCCTGAGAGCAGTGCTCCAGCACCAGAGCACTGACCCCAGGGGCTACGAAGAAGCCCAGGCAGGTGGTGACATTCTCGTGCCGCAGCTCCCGCTGTTGGGCAAGGGGCACCTTAACAGCCTCAGGGGCTCCTGAGGCTGGACCAGGTGCAGTTCAGGTCTGAGCCCCAAGTCCTTAGCACCCAGCACCGGGCTAAGCCCAGAGAGACATCAGAAAATGTTTGATGGATGCATGAGTGAATGAATGAATGAATGAGTGGTAACATTAGGGATGAGTAAGCGAGTGAGCTGTACCTAACTATAGAAAAGGAATCTAGCCCTGTTCCCAACCTAAGTGACACCACGGGCCTGAAAACCATACCAATTCTCTACCCTAAGACTCAGGGATTTAGGAGTGTTAGGAGCAGACAGGATCAGGCACAAGCAGAAAGCAGCCTCCCCATGGCTGTCCAACAAGTTGTTTTGCTTGTAGTCGAGTCAATTCTGACATATGGTGACCCCATGTGTGCAGAGTAGAAGTACTCCATAGGGTTTTCAAGACTGTGACCTTTCAGAAGCAGATCACCAGGCCTGTCTTCTGAGGCACCTCTGGGTGGGTTCGAACCACCACCCCTTTGGCTAGTAGTAGAGCATTTAACTGTTTGTGCCTTTAACCCAGGGACTCCTGTCCAGCAAATTAGAAAGCTCAAATCCAACCAGAGACACTAGCATTTGCCCAAGTGGGAAAGATGGAACCCTTATCTGGCACCATCCTCACAAAAACAGTTCAGGGGTCATCAATGGGGAACCTGCATACTTTCCCCCTTTGGGGATTCACAAGCACATTAGCATATGTGGTGAGTTAAGGATGGCCTCAAATTCCTTGACACTCCTGTTATCAAGAGGAGAGATCTCTGCCCCCTCTCCTTGAGTCAGAGCAGCCTCCACGACTACTGTGACCAACAGAACATGGTGGAAATGGTCTCGCATGTTCTGGGTCCAGGTCTTGGAGACTGGCAGCTCCCATTTTTGTCTCTCAGAACACTCTCTGTTGGAGTCCTGATCTGCCAGGTAAGAAGTCCTTCTACCCTGAGACCAACGTGCTGGAAGCACCCCCACAGAGAGGCCCTTAAACGACATAGAAAGGGAAGACAGGTCCAACTGAGTCCAATCTTCCAGCCTCCCTGCCAAGGCTCAAGATGTGAGTAAAGCCATCTTGGACCTTCTGGACCAACCAAAAATAAAAAAACGTATTGCCATTGAGTCAGTTCCAGCTCGTAGTGACCCTACAGGACAGAGTAACTGCCCCATAGGATTTCCAAGGAACAGCTGGTGGATTTGAACTACTGACTTTTTGGTTAGCAGCCATAGCTCTTAACCACTGCACCACCAGGGCTTCTGGACCACAGGGTAGCAAACTTTTCTGTAAAGCTCCAGATAGTAAATACTTTAGATTTTATGGGCCATACAGTCTCTGTCACAAATACTTAACCTCTGCTGTTGTAGCGCAAAACCCAAACCAAACCAAATCCACTGCTGTGGAGTCGATTCTGACTCACAGCAACCCTGTAGGGTTTCTAAGGCTGTAAGCCACCGGTGGCTTTGAACTGCAGACCTTTTGGCTAGCAGTTGAGCACTTTAACCACTGCGCCACCAAGGATCCTAGTGCAAAAGCAGCCATAGACAGTACATAAATGAATAAGCACAGCTGTACTACAATAAAGTTTTATTTACAAAACAGGCAGTGGGCTGGTTTTGGCCCATGGGCCATAGTTTGCCAACCCCTGCTCTAGACCAGCTGATGCCACTGAGTTATTCCCACCCAACACTGTGTGGAACAGAAGAATTGCCCAGCTGAGCCCTGCCCAAATGTCTGGCCCACAAAATTGTAAGATATTAATAAAAGGGTTGTTGTTTTTAAACACTACATTTTGGGGTAAGTTGTTACAAAGTAATGGATAACCAGAACAGCATATTAAAGGTTTGGAGAAGTTCTGTGGTTAGTCCAGCAATTTCCAAAATTTTCTGAGAAACATCTACTCGCATTGGTTATAGGACGCCTACTGGGAAATGCCTAACTTAACCTCTAGTCACTTAATCTCTTAAAATTTTATTTCGGATGGTGGTTTGATGTTGGAAATAGTAAACAAAATCACCATGTATGGAAGGCACACTACTTTCCAGGGACAGTTCTAAGTTATCCCATATGTTCTCCCCAATCTTCACAATTCCCCCTGGGGGTGGATATCATAGCTCCATTTTACAGGAGAGTTAAGTGTCTGTGGAGGCAGGATTCCACCTGGGGTCTTCCTGACTCCAAATCCTGGGCTCGCTCTGTCCTCCATCCCATAGCACCTCTCAGGATGGTGACAATCTCGAGGGCGAAGGTGCTTATGTGGTTGGTGATGGCAAGTGACTGCAAGTTCCCTGGGAGCAGGAACCTACCTCTCTTCTCCACTGGTGTATCCCCAAAGCCCAGAACACTGCCTGGCACATAGGTGGTGCTCAATAAATTGTAAGTAAATGGATGGGTGGGCAAATGAATGAAGGGTGGAGGGTGAGGTCCTTTGATAGTGCTGGCTACACCATGTCATGATACTGACGAAGATGATTGTGCCCTGGTTATGGTGACAAATATGTTGATGGGATGACATAGCTTTAGGAATCTGGATGTGTGGTGATGGCAGTACTGTGTATAATTGTGACTGAGGTGCTGGGAATAGGGTGGCAATCATGATGATGGAAATGACTTCCTTTTTGAGGCCAGAAGCTTCCTCATTGAGCAGGAACCAATCCAGACCAGTAAGTGTCTCCTGAACAGCATCCCCCTCCCACCTGACCGTACACACTCTTGGCAGCTCTACCTTTCTCAGGAGGCTGAGGGAACTCAGCTGTAGCTCCGGGGCTATGCTAGCTTCAAACTTCTTCAGTCACACCCAGTCTCCCTGTTCAAGAAAGAACCCCAAAACCTATTGCTGTTGAGTTGATTATGACTCACAGCGACCTTACAGGACAGAGAAGAACTACCCATAGGGTTTCCTGCTGGATTCGATCTGCCAACCTTTCGGTTAGCAGCCAAATGCTTAACCATTGTGCCATCAGGGAAGCAAGTGTTTGTCTGCTGCTGTTTCCCAGCTGTGTGACCTTGGGAAAATCCCTCAACCTCACTAAGCCTCAGCTTCTTCACCATTAAAAAAAAAAAAGAAGAAGTCATTGAGTCATCTCCAACTCACAGCAACCCTGTGTGTATGAGTAGAACTATGCTTCATAAGGTTTTCAATGACTGATTTTTGGAAGTAGACCACCAGGCCTTTCTTCTGAGATGCCTCTGTGTGAACTTGAACCTCCAACCTTCCTTTTGGCAGCCGAGCATGTTAACTTTGCACTTTCCAGGAACCCCTCTTCACCATAAATGGAAATGGTAATAACAGCCCTAGCTGCACCCCTTTCTGTGTATCCAAGCCGGGCAGAGCTGGGTCAGCAGAAATGCAGTTAGACTTTTACTGCGTCCCAGGCAGAGCCAGTCCTAACTCTACTGCTTTCCAGCTCCGTGAACTGTAAAGCAGGGATGATAACCCCCATCCACATGGTGAGGGCACAGTGCAGCAGTGGGTAGAAAGCATGTTAGCGTCCTTCCCCAGGGTCAGCTTTACCTGCAGGCCACAGGCACTACGATCCCCAAATTCTGTGAGTTGGGGGGGGGGTCTGGGACCCGGGGACTCTAGGGAAGGAGAGGAGGACGGGGTGGGATGAGGGTAGGTATGGGGGCCTCAGCCGAGCTCTGTCTTCTCCTTGGCCTGGTCCAGAGCTGACCATAGCCTTAGCCCTCACTCCCTTCATCACTGAAAGATTTTGCCTCACCCACAGCCTGTCAGCTAACTCAGAAAAGCAGACAAATCATCCTTTGTCCATCATTAAAGCTCCTATCAGCAGGAAAAAAAAAAAAAAAAAGATGGAATTCCCCAGGGGAGAAGTAGGAAAGAAGGAGCAAGCATCTTGTGTTGCTTCATGTAGAAGCGATCAGCTGGCTTGTCAACTTGAGAGTCATGGACTGTGAGAATCACAGTGGTGGTGAACTGGTGAATTTGGGACTGACAGCACCTGAGAAACTGAGTCTGTCAGGGCCTACCGTCACCATGTCCTCTCGAGTCTGGCTGGTCTGAACTGTGACCTTCTGTCCCTGTCAGCTGGTGGCCCAGCCTCTGTCCGGAGGCTGTCCTGGGCTGCGTGCTGCCCCTACATGTCAGGGCCTCAGGGACCAGGGGTTTCACTGCCCCTTGCCTAAGTGGGCAGGGGGTGAGCCTAGGCTGGCTTCATGCCTGAGAGGGACCCTGGGATGGATCCTGGCTGGCTGTGCTCAGGGCCAAATGACCAGGAACTGGTTGTTTTCCAAGGCCAGATCATGAACCACGCCAGGCTGGGAGTTGGAAGTCTGGTTTCCACTTTTAGCCCTGTCACTTACTGGCTGTGTGACCCAGGAAAGTCACACTGCATCTCTCTGGGCCTCAGTTTCCCATTCTGTAACAGGAGTGGAACAAACAGAGGCCTGACAGGCTGTGGGCTCCCTCGGCTTCTCCCAAATTGACTACAGCTCCCCAGGCTTCGGCATGAGGGTAGAGAGGCCCTCACCTGGTACAGGGCCACATTGGTGGGCTCCTGAGGGGCTGGCAGGCTCCTTGCTGACACCTGGGCCACCGACCTCAGGCTCCCACCATCCGCCACACTTCTCGATTCACTCGTACTACCCATGTGCAGCCTCTGGAGGAGGGCAGGCATGGTCAAAAGCCTAGCTGGGCACCTAGCCCAGCCCCCATCCCATGCCCAGCCCATGCCCTACCCACCCGTCTCCTCGGGGGCCGATGGATGAAGGTGAGCTCCTGGGTGGTCCGCAGAATCTGGTGGGGGTCCTGCACCAGCTGCAGCTGCTGGACACCCAATCTGGAGGTGAAACAGTGCAGAGTGGTGGGGATGAGGCTTGCTTCTCCCCACCTCGGTCTGGCCCCTGGGAACTTCCTCTGACTCAGAGCCCTCCTCTGTTCCCCCCCCGCCCCCCCCAACAGTTCCCCATTCTGTCTCTGCATCAGTCCCAGCTGAGCTGAGGGGGCACTGTTAAGCACTGTCTCTCACAGAGCCCTGTGGCCTCAGGCTCGGGTCTGGAGCCCGGGGTGCCTAACGTCCCTGCTGGTTCAGAGCTTAAGCGCTCCTAAGTTGCCTGGAGGCCTCACGGGGCAACCAGAGCCTGGGGGAGGTGTGCAGGCAGAAGGCTAACCCCCTGCCAGGTGTGGCCAGGTTCAGGGAGGGTCTGGATCCAGGAGCATCAAGGAATTCAGACCTCAGGGAGAATTGCATTCAGAGCTGGAAGGGCCCTTGGGGATCATCCTGGCCAAGCCCCTCATTGTACAGAAGGTCAGATTGAAGCTCTAGGAGGGACGGAGTCTTATCCAAGGTCACAGGCTTCTTTCTCAAGACTCAAGTGGACTTTCTCTGGAGGCAGCCTGGGGACCTGACAGAACCGTGACCGAGGCTTGAGGGTGGACGTGAGCACTGGGTGGTCCTGGGGTCCTGGCAGAGGGGGTTGGGAAGCCCTTTGAGAGAGGTCCTGTGGGAGGGGCATGGAGGGCAGAGCCAGGCTCAGGCACAGACAGTCTCACCTGATGAGGCAGGTGAGGGCCCCGCCAGCCAGCACCAGGACACAGGCCAGGGCCAGGGCCGGCAGGCTGCCTGGGTCTTGCACACCTGTAGGGGAAGCAGGGCAGGGAAGAGTCATAGCTGCAAGGGCCACACATGAGGAGAGCCCCCTTTACTCCGTTGGGAAGCTCCTCCCCTGGGAAACAGAACGCAAACCCCTGCCCCAGCTTCCTCCCCAGGGTGGGATCTCAGGATGGGCCCTGGTGGGAAACCCTATCTGTGTATGGTCATCAGGCACAGACATTGTTTCCCAGCACTGCTGTCTGTGTTCTCAGCCTAGATGCCCCGCCTCTGTGCTCCGCAGCCCCTGCTCAGCCTCATCACAGTCCTGATCACTCCGTGGCCTTATGTACTAGTGTGACAGGTCAGCCCCTCCCCTCAGACTGAGAGCAGCAGAGGGTAGGCCTGTGTCTTACTTATCTCTGTGTCCCTGGCACCTAGCACAGGGCCTGGACAGGGCAGGTGCTGAATAAAAATTTGTCAGATGAGCATCCCTGCCAGTTGTTATGCTATTTCTTCTTGCACACCTTCTGCAATGGGCCGCTGACTACCTGCCTTGTCTGCTAGTTTCATTGTGGGTTGGCTCTGACTATTAGAAGAGCCCACATCTCTAGCCCTCATGTCAGGAGCCAGATGCAGAGGCTGTTTGGGACATCCCGGGTGAGGTGAGGAGCTGCTTTGCTTGGGCATTCTGGCATCAGCCTGGCCTGACAAGGTGGTAAAATGCTCAGCCCCATCCTGGAGACAGGATATTGACTTCCACTGCCATGGAAAGGGGGATCATCCCTTCTTCCCCCCAGCTCCCTTCCCCTCCTTCCTTTTGTGGGGGATGAGGACTGTTCTGCCTGCATCCTTCTAAGATCCCCTAAACCAAAATCAAACCAAACCTGTTGCTGTCAAGTCAATTCTGACTCAGAGAATAATAATAGCAGTGAATATTTTGTAGTACTTATTGTGTACAAGTACTCGTTCTAAGGCTGTTAGTATTTCTACTCAGTCCTCATAATGACCTCTAGAAATAGGTACGGTTATTATCACAATTCCATAGATGAGGAAGCTGAGAGGTTAAGTAACTTGAATGGCAGAGCCGGGGTTCAAACTGAGGCAGTTTTATGCTGACATCTGGGCTCCTAACCATTGCACCACCCTGCCTCTCACCAAGGGCTGAGAGGAAGGAAGATTTGAGTAGAGACTTAAAGAGGTAAGAGGACAAGCCATATGGCTTGTGGCAGAAAAGACTTCCAGTCCAGGCATAGGGAAGAGCAAGCACTCTATGAGCATGGTGTGGTGTACCCAGGGGGTGGGGAGCGCACGCCAAGGACTCCCAACTGTGACTGCCGAGCTGTTCTTGAAAGATAAACTCATTGCTGTCAAGTCAATTCCGACTCTTTGCGACCCTCTAGGACAGAGTAGAACTGCCCCATAGGGTTTCCAAGGCTGTAGTCCTCATGAAGCAGCCTGCCACATCTTTCTCTTGTGGTGCAGCTGGTGGGTTCGAACTGTCGACCTTTTGGTTAGCAGCTAAGCTCTTAATCATTGCACCACCTGGGCGCCTTTCCTTGAAGGGTAAGTAGGATTTAGCCAAGCAAGGCGGGGGTGGTTGGTGGAGATGAGAACTCCAGAGAGAGAAAAATGCATGTGAAAAGGGAGGCTTGAAAGGGCAGTGTGTGTTTTGGGGAAATGAAAGGAGTCAGCTTTTTCTGTGGAGTCATGTTGCGAGATTGGGTAGAGGAGCAGTCAGAGCCGAGGTCATGAGGGGCATGGGAGGCTATGGAAGTTTTGGGGAGGGCAGGAATATAAGCAAGCCTGGCCAAACCTGAGATTACCTACCAACTGCAGTAACCATAACTAGGCACGCAGTGGGTGCACTTGCTTATTTGTACTGATACGTGTGTGCCCATCTCTATATACACCTATGCATGTGTATGCCAGTGTAACGTCATTAGGGATGAAGATCTGTCATCAATGAATGTCAGGAATCTGAATGGGATGGGCTTCCTCATCTCACACTCCTTCTTGGTCATGAGGTAAAAGCAATCCTGCACCTGGAGTCAGTAGACGTGGGCTCAGCGTGAGCTCACCTACCGCCTCCCTGGGTGACCTTGGGCAAGTCACCAAACCTTTCTGAGAGTTAGTTCTCCACTGGTGCCCAGGGAGGATAATGGCCTAGTCACAGGGCTAGGGTGTGATTCAGGAAAGCTAAGAGACAGGGACATGCTCTGTAAATGTTATAGCCCTGCTCATCTGATGGAAGGCCTTGCTAGTCTCCTTGGTGCTTTGCAACTGTTGGTTGGTTCACCTCAATGGAAGAATGGACTTGACAGTAAAGTGTTAAGTCGTTGCACCTGTACTGCTGCTCACTAAGACTGTCTGGAAAGCCTTGAATATTGGATAGATTGATGGATGGATAGACGGATGGATGGATCGACGGATGGACGGATGATGAATTACCTCTCATGCATAGTGTATTAGGGTCAAACCAGAAGCTGGAGTCGCGAGCTGGAGGAGCCCCTCCTGGATAGTGTATGGCCCTGCCCAAAGGCTGCACTTGCCACGTGCCTGTGTCTAGGATGTGGGTGGGGATCAGCTGGCTTCCCCAACCATCTGTGTCCAGGATGACGTACTGGGCCATCCTCCTGCCCTTCTCGTCCGTCCGGATCCTCTGGCTAACGCCGGCCACGTCCAGAGCCCCTGTGTAGTTCCCTAAGTGGGCCCCTGAGAGTCCTGCCCCGTGGCTCTCAGAGCAGTTCAGGGCATGGGCCAGCAGGACCACAGTGTCGTAGATGGTTCCAAAGAGCAGGGACACCTGCAGAGGAGAAGTTCCCCCAACCCCCTGGCACAGGTTCCCAGACATCTCTGAGTCCTTGCTCTCCTGCCAGCAGCAATTTTTGGGATTATTGTTACACACACACACACACACACACACACACACACACACACACACGTATGCACAATCCTTTCTTCAGTGCCACCATAACCCCAGTCCTCACTCAGTCTCTATGGCCACCAGCATCGTGGCCACCACCACCACCAACTCTGATGTCTCACAGGCATCTCAAACTTACCTAATATGCCCAAAACAGAACTGGTTCCCCCACCCCAAAATGACTCCTCCTCCATCCTCCCCTACCCCTTTAGGAAATGGAACTATCACCTGCCCTGTTTCTCAAGACAAAAAGCCTAGGCATGATCCCCAACAACTCTTTTTCTCTCTTCCAGTTCATTATCAGATCTTTTTGGCTATACTTCAGAATTTATCCCCAAACCAACCAACCTCTCAGCACCTCCACTCCTGCACCCTGGCTCCAAGCCACCTCCCACTGCTCACCTGGACCAAACAGGAGCCTCCTAAGGGCCTCCTTGCTTCATCTTGCCCTCTTCAGGCCATCCCCATAAGGCAGTCAAAGTGATTGTTTTTTTTAAATATAAATCAAATAATTTCTTACTTAAAACCCACTAATGGTTTTCCATTTTACTTATGGTAAGTTCAAACTCCCTACCCTGGCCTACAACGCCTCCTACGATCAGGCCCCTGAGTTCATCTTGGATCCCTTTCTCCATCGCTTCTGACACTCCAGCCGCTCCACACTGTCTCTGCCTGCTCCTCCAGCAACTGAAACTTGCTCTGCCTCAGGGCCTTTGCACTTACTGTTTTCCTCTCCTGGTTGCTCTTTATCCAGATCTTCACTTGGCTGCCTCCTTATTATTCAGATCTCAGCTCAAGTGCCACCTCCTTAGAGAGGGTTTCCCTGCCCATCTTACCTCTTATTGCCTACTATTCCATCCCGGCCACTCCATCACTTTATCCTGCTGTATTTTTTTGGCAGCATTATTGCTATTTGAATTTGGTTATTTGATGACTTGGTTATTGTTTTCCTCCCTCTCACAGAATTGAAGCTCCTTGAAAACCAGGCCTGTCTTGTTCATCATGACAAGGCACTCGATCCACATTTGTCAAACCAGTGACTGATTGGCCTTCCCTTGACATCCACATGCCTGTCACCACCTTCAGACACTATCGTCTGATCACCAAGAAACAGACAACGCAAGAGAGACTTGAGTTCAACTAAATTCTGTAGGCCAAAACCAAGCCAGCAGCCCTGTCCCCCTCCCCACCAGAACTCCTCAAATTCGCAGCAGTAACTTCAGAAAACTTCCCCCTCACTCCCACTCTCCCACATCCCCAACACTCGCTCCTTCTAATTTTCACAATTTGCTAGAGAGATGCAGAGAAAGGAGAAGAAGCATGTCTTCAACAGAAAGAGCTGCTGGGCCAGAAATAAGAATGAGAGGAATTGAGAGAGTCAGAGAGAAAAACAGAAGCAAAAGGGACACAAGAGAGGGAGAATTCACAAAGGGGCCAAAAGAGTGAATAACATAAGATACACAGAGATACACACACACACACACACACACACACACACACACACACACACACACATGAGAGAGACACAGAGATTGGATACGCCCAGGGACTAGGAAGAGAGACACCTTGTCAAATGAGGGACAGATCATCTGCCCACAGTGGGGGCAGGACTGGCTGGCTGGGTGGGTGACTGGCCAAGGCCATGAAGGCTGTGAGTGGGTGAGCGGCCCATGCACACCCTGCCCACGGCCCCAGCTCCCCCAGGGGTCTAGTGGAGGTGTGTGAGGGTCTGCACTGACCTGCTCTGGCTCCAGGTGGGCAGCCACCTCTCCACTCGCCCTGGCAGTGTGAAGGCCTTGTCTATGGAGCCAGACTCCAGGCTGATGGTGAGCACCGCGTCCTAGACCTGCTGCAGGGGTCCCCTGTCACCGAGGGCCGGGTAGGAGTGGTTGCGATAGGGCAGTGCAAATAGCAGCATGTCATAGGGCAGGAAGATGAGCCTCCCATCGGCCAGGCCTTCGGCCCACGCACGACTCAGCAGGGTGGTCTGCTCTTGGCCACCCAGGAACGCTGAGTGCATGCACAGAACCACAACTAGGGGGCAGAGATGGCAGGGTCACCTGCCCGCAATTCTGTGCCCATGGAGAGCCACTCAGGCTTTCTCTCTGCTGTTATTTCCAATGCGCTTCCCTCCCCATTAATCTGGGGAAAGGTGGAAGTTCCTCTTAATCTGCTCCCCTGTCACAATAACAGCCAAGGCCACCAAATCTGGGTTCGTCCTTATGAAAACAATCCCCTTGACTGAGAATACATTTGTATTAATACATCCCTTCCAGCCTGCCCACCAATAATTTTGACGAACTTCCCATCCTCCCTCCACCCCATTGGCTCTGACAGTTTCTAGTATTTACTGACAGCTTTTTCTGTGATGTCCTAAAGTACTTTTACAGTTAGTCATTCAATATTACAACAGCCCTAAGAGGTATGTATATCATTATCTCTACCTTTCGAATGAGAAAACCAAGGCACAGAGAGGTTAGGCTGTTGCCCCAGGATACGTAGTCACTGTGGTGGTAGAGCCAGGATTTGAACCCCGGGCAGGCTGGTGCCTGGCTTGTAATCTTAACTGTGGCCGTGGGTGAGACCACATACCTCCCTCAAGGTCTAAACAGACGTGAACACATTTGCCTTTGTCCTAGTAGAAGAAATGAAATACCAGTATCAATTGCCCTATGAGTTAATTCCAACTCATAGCGACCCCACATGTGTCAGAGCAGAGTTGTGCTCCATAGGGTTTTCAATGGCTGGTTTTTTGGAAGTAAATTGCTAGGCTTTTCTTCCGAGGCACCTCTGTACGCATGTGAACTTCCAAACTTCCAGTTGGCAGCTGAGCGTGTTAACTGTTTACACCACCCAGGGAAGCCGGGTAGAAGAAATAGGCCTTTGGTAATAAGGCAGCCAATTTCACCCCCTGACATCCAGAACAGAAAGGAGCCCCTACCAGAGGTAAGAGGCCCACACTGGACTTCCTCTTCATTTTTATCTCTTCCTCACTTGGGTCTCTGACCAGGGTTGCAACTGTGGCCAAAAAAATAACCACTTGCTTTGGATGTGGCCTGGGTTCCCTCTGCAACTCTTTTTTCCAGAATATCCAGGAAAATGGAATCAACCAGGAAGGTCAGGGGTCTCCTTGCTGGGGCCTGAGGACCCCCATCATGTGGAAGTCAGAATTTGAAGCCCTGGCTACTGCTGAGCCCCTGACGGGCCACCCCGTGGGGAGGAATCCACATAAATGGGCATAGCCAGCACTGACTGAGCGCTCACTGTGTGCAGGCCACTGTTTTAAGCCCTTCATCTGCAGTAGTCCATCTCATTTTCACAACCCTACAAGTTAGGGGCTTTGACTTACCAGTTGCCATCAAGTCGATTCCGACTCATGGCAATCCCATGTGTGTCAGAGTAGAACTGTGCTCCATAAGGTTTTCGGTGGTTGATTGTTCAGAAGTTGATCGCTTGTCCTTTCTTCCGAGGTGCCTCTGGGTGGACTTGAACTGCCAGCCTTTCATTTAGCAGGCAAGCAATGTTAACCATTTGCACCACCCAAGGGGCTTGGATTCACCCCACGCTATTGATGAGGAAACTGTAGCTCAGAGAGGTTTAGTGACTGGCCTGATATCACACAGCTAGTAGGAGGTGGGGCCAGGAGTGGAACTCTGGCAATCTAACTCTAGGTAGATACCCTACCTACTCTGCCCTCCAGGCTCCTGAATGCCAGACCATGGCTGGAACTCAATCCCCTATAACAGGGGTGGAGGAGTCTGATCAGCTATCCCCTGTTCACTGCCACCAGGCTCCATCCGCAAAGAACTGAACTGCTCACCATTCTCCTAGTTCCTTTAGTACGTGACCGTCACCCCTTTGCACAAGCTGGTCCCTCTGCCTGGAATTTCTTAGGGGCTGAGAGAAGTGAAGAATGATCCGTGAGATCGAAGTGGGCACCCCTGGGCCAGTTCTCACTCTCAGCTGGGCTCTAACTGACCAACTGGCCACAAGACCCCAGCAGGCTTCCCACCCCACCCTTCCTCACAGACCCTGGCCTCAATGCCCTCCTACATAAAACAAGGTGATTTGTCTTAGTTGCTTTTAAATGGAGCCCCACAGTAGGAAATGTTTTAGCTCGGTATACTCACTAACTTGAGTACACTCACAAAACTGAAAGTTTCGCAGAATGATACTTAGGTTGTTGTTAGGTGCCATCAAGTCGATTTCGACTCCTAGTGACCCCATGTGACAGAGTAGAACTGCCTCACAGGGTTTTCTAGGCTGTAATCTTTCCAGGAGCAGATCGCCAGGTCTTTCTCCCTTAGAGCCACTAAGTGGGTTCGAACCACCAACCTTTCAGTTACCAACTGAGCACTTAACTACTGCACCACCAGGGATCCTTCTGCTTACCCTTATCCATTGCTGCCAAATCGATTCTGACTCATAGTGACCCTATAGGACAGAGTAGAATAACCCCATAGGGTTTCCAAGGCTGTAATCGTTAAAGAAGCAGAGTGCCACATCTTTCTTCTGTGGAGTGGCTGGGGGGTTTGAATTGCTGACCTTTTGGTTAGCAGCTGAGCACTCAGCCACTGCGCCACCAGGGCTCCTCTCTACTTACCCTTATGACCTGCAAATTTACCACCTACAAATTGGCTCATATTTACTATTCTTACTCCATTCCATTTTATTCTATTCTACTCAATTTTATTTTTCTCTGTTCAGTTATATTTTGTTGTCATGGATTGAATTGTGTACCCCAAAATATGTGTCAACTTGGCTAGGCCAAGATACCCAGTATTGTATGGTTGTCCTACATTTTGTGATCTGATGTAATTTTCCTATGTGTTGTAAATCCTAATCTCTGCCTGAGGTTAATGAGGCAAGATTAGGTTATGTTAAAGAGGATTAGGGTGGGATGCAACTTGGTTACTCAGGTCACAGCTGATCCAATGTAAAGGGAGTTTCCCTGCGATGTGGCCTGCATCACCTTTTATCTTACAAGACATAAAAGGAGAAAGAAGCAAGCAGAGAGATAGGGACCTCCTACCACCAAGAAAGAAGAACAGGGAGCAGAACACATCCTTTGGACCCAGGATCCCTGCACTGAGAAGCTCCTAGACCAGGGGAAGATTGATGACAAGGACCTTCGCCTAGAGCTGACACAGAGAGAAAGCCTTCTCCTAGAGCTGGTGCCCTGAATTCAGACTTCTAGTCTAAACTGTGAGAGAATAAACTTCTGTTTGTTAAAGCCATCCACTTGTATTTCTGTTATAGCAGCATTAGATAACTAAGATACTTGCTTTTTTCATAATGCTAGTCATGATTTACTAAGTTGATTTCTTAACCCAAATGGACCACAAGGCACAGTCTGAAACCTCTAATCTAGATTAACTCTAAGGTCCTTCTGTCTTCCAGGTGCACCTCTCTCCTACACCCCACCCCTCCATGCCTTTCCTGGCTAACTACCTCCCTAAAGACAGGTCAAGTGCCAGCTCCTCCAAAAAGCCTCCTCAGATCTCCCAGGGCCCGGCCACAGGCCTGCTCTAGTTCTCAGGCCTCTGCTTCCTGGGATGCCCCTAACCTCTCTGTCAGAACTGCCTGCTGACCTGACCATCTCCTTATCACACAGTCACCTCCTAGAGACCAGCCACCTCCTCTGTCCTTTTTTGTGGGCCACCACTCTGACCCAGCCCAGGCAAGCGCTGGATAAATACAGAAATCAATCAATCAAGGCTCTAATTTCAAGAAGCTACAAGTAGCTCTAACTCCCTTCGTAGGGCTCAGGCCCTGCTCCTCTCTCATGTCCTTTATTTTCCCAGACGAGAACCAAGAACAAACTTTGCTCCCACTTCTCCACCCACGTTTAAGTCAGAGTTCTTTGGCAGCTATGTGACTAGGGCAAGTTACTTACCTTCTCTGAGCTGTAGAAACGGGCCTTGGCAGTCCTGCTTACAAGGCTGTTGTGAGGTTAAATGCAGCGCCATTGCAAGTGCCCAGCCCAGTGTCTGATACAGAGGAAGCTCCCTATCAGATGAAGCCCAGGCTGCCCACAGGAGGAAGGTACCCACAGACACTTACTTTTCAGGCCGTCCACACTGCAGAGCTGCTTCAGAACCTCTGTGGCTCCCTGTTCCCCGGGTCCCAGAGAAGTCACCAGCCCTACAGGCAGCCCACGTGTCCTGAAAGTTGTGGCCACCTGTTGGGCTGTGGCCACCCAGATGTCCTGGTGGAAGGACAGAATGGCCACACGGGCCCAGCCAAAGTGTCTCAGGATGGACAGCAGCACATGGGCAGCCGAAGGAAAGGTGGGCATCAGCTCATCTCCTCCTTCAGGGGCCCCGCAAACCCAGGAGAAGAGGGTCTTGCCCCAGCTTTGGGCCAGCAGGGCTGCTGCTGGGTAGTAACCAGGATTGACAGGGCCCACAAAAGCAGCTACGCTGTCCTTGTGGGCCAGGAACGTGGCCAGGGCCTGAGGTGTGTCACAGCCCGTGGGGAGAACCACAGAATTCAGCCGTGAGTCCAGCAACGGTGAGGGGTCCTGGTTGACTCGGTCCACGGCCAGCTGGGCAGCCACACTGGGGAGGGCCTGGGCAAAGATGGGGTCACAGTCCCAGGGTCCTAGTACCCCCAGGGTGAAGGTCCCTGCCCCCCCGAGGCCAGATGGGGAAGGAAGCCAGCCCACAGGAGGTTACCCCAAAGCACCACAGAGAGAAGTAATGAAGAAAAGGGGCTTTCCTTGGTAGACCGAGGGTTAACCCCTATGGACCCTGGCAGGGTGGGAAGGTCTTCCCGTGTGGCTGAATCCAGCACCAGCCTTCAGGGTATAAGCTCCCCTGCAGTCCTGGAAAAAGGAGGATAAAGACAAGGTTTGCTTTCTAGCATTTTCCACCAGCACTTACTTTGTGATTTAGAGACAAATACTCCCTCCCAGAGCCCCAATCTCTTCATTGGTAAACAAGGCATTTGAACCCATGATCACCAAGGACCCCCAGCTCTGGGGACCTGACATCCTCCCCAGAACCAGCTCCCAGCCTCGTAATGCCCAAGCAAAGGCCTGGGTTAGAGCTTAATTGCTAAGTACATGGAAGACAAAGTCAGAGCTGGCCAGACCCTGCTTATCACTTCCTGTCTACGTGGCCCTGGAGCAATCTCTGAAGCTTTCTGAGCCTCATTTTCCTCTGTAAAATGTGGATAAAATCTACTTTATAGAGTTATTGTGACTATTACATGACATAACGTGTAGCATTTAGCACAGCCTCTCATATTTAGGTGTTCAATAAATCCTACCTCTTTCAACCTATTGCTTTTTTTTTATTCCATTAATTTTTGTTGTTCTTGAAAATATACACAGCATGAGCAGCCGTCTAAGAAACTCCAGTGGTCTCACCGCTTCGGGAGCAAGGGAGAACGAAGAAAATATGATACAAGGGAAAGATTTGTCCAAAGGACTAATGGACCACAACTATCACAGCCTCCACCAGACTGAGTCCAGTACAGCTCGATGGTGCCGGGCTACCACCACTGACTGCTCTGACTGGGATCACAACAGAGGGTCCTGGATGGAACTGAAGAAAAAGGTAGAACAAAATTCTAACTCATAAAAAAAGACCAGACTTACTGGTCTGACAGAGACTAGAGAAACCCTGAGAGTATGGCCCCCGGACACCCTTTCAGCTCAGCAATGAAGTCACTCCGGAGGTTCACTGTTAAGCCAAAGATCAGACAGGCCCATAAAACAAAACGAGACAAATGGGGCACAACAGCCCAGGGACAAGGACTAGAAGGCGGGAGGGGACAGGAAAGCTGGTAATAGGGAACCCAAGGTCGAGAAGGGAGTGTTGACATGTCTTGGGGTTGTTAACCAAAGTCATAAAACAATATGTGTACTAACTGTATAATGAGAAACTATTTGTTCTGTAAACCTTCATCTAAAGTACAATTTAAAAAAATCAAAAAGAAAATATACACAGCAAAACAGACACCAATTCAACAATTTCTACATGTACAATTCAGTGACATTGATTACATTCTTCAAGTTGTGCAACCATTCTCACCTTCTTTTTCTGAATTATTTTTCCAACGTTAACATAAACTCACTGCCCCCTAAGCTTCCTGTCTAATCTTTGGAGTTACTGTTGTCCGTTTGATCCCATATAGACAGTTCTTTGAGACAGCACAATGCTCAATGCTGACATTCTTTACTAATTAAGCTAAACTATTCTTTGTCAGTCCATTGCTATTATTTCTCCCTTCACTCATCCTCCAAGGTGGGTCAGGTTCTCCTGGTGCCTTTCTGGGTGCAGACACCCACCTACCACAGGGTGACCCCTGCCTCTTACCCTTCAACCCCAGTATCAATGCATAGCACTTTATTCTACCAGACTAGTGGCCCTAGTAACTTAAAACTCCTGGGTACAGGTAAGTCACCCGTTGTGTGTGCTCACAGGGAGTTGGGACGAGAGGCTTTACAATGCACATGCATAGTCCCATCTCTGATCCCCCTCACAGCCCTGCTCAGGTAAAAAATCTTTCTATTCACATTGTATAGATGAGGAAATAATCATGGAGTTGGTAGAGAGATGCATTTGACCCAAGTGTGTTCAGCTCATTCCCGACCCCCTAACATGACCTTGACCAGGACATTTGGACGGTGGCATTCCCCACTTCACCCTGCTGTTCCAAGACCTTTATACCCATCCTCAGGCTCTGAGACTGTTGCTTGGCCTCTGCCTACATCCCTGCCATTGCCCGCTCCCCGCCCACAGGGCTCAGCCATTCTTCTTCCTACACCGTTTATGCAGCCAGCAACCTTCCAGTGTGGGGTGCCTGTTATGGACTGAATTGTGTCCCCCAAAAATGTGTATCAACCTGGCTAGGCCATGATTCCCAGTGTTGTGTGATTGTCCAGCATTTTGTCATCTGATGTGATTTTCCTATGTGTTGTAAATTCTACCTCTATGATGTTAATGATGCAAGATTAGAGGTAATTATGTTAATGAGGCAGGACTCAATCTACGAGATTGGGTTGTATCTTGAATCAATTTCTTTTGAGATATAAAAGACAGATGCAAGCAGAGAGACAGGGGACCTCTTACCACCAAGAGTGAAGAACCAGAAGGGGAGCGTATCTTTTGGACCCTGGGTCCCTGTGCTGAGAAGCTCCTATTGCAGGGAAAGATTGATGACAAAGACCTTCCCCAGTCTCAGCACTTAAGAAACTTAAGGAAACTAGTAGGCAGACAGGTGCCAGCCAAAAGAAGAGCTGACCACACTTGTGGGCAGCGGGCAGAAGGATCTGATGAGTGGAGAGACCCCGCCAGCTGAGGAGGGCTCTTGGAGGGCTTTCCAGAGGAGCACAACTAGAACCAGCCCTTGGTGGAAGTATAGATCAGGAGAGTAGGAGGGTGCCCTCTGGAATGCCAACAGTGATTACCTGTGTAGAGTCACGCGTTACAAATTATGTTTAGTGCAGAGGGATAAGAAGGGCCTTGGAATCACCCTGAGGAAGAAATCCTGATTTTATCACTTATTAGCCATTAACCTTGAGGGGCCCTGGTGGCTCAACTGTTTACCTTTGGCTGCTAACCAAAAGATTGATGGTTCGAACTCCCCCGGCAGCTCTGTGGGAGAAAGGCCTGGCGATCTGCTTCCATAAAGATTACAGCCAAGAAAACCCTATGGGGCAGTTCTGCTCTGTCACATGGGGTCGCTGTGAGTCGAAATAGACTCAACAGCACCCAACAAAGGCACTAACCTTGGGCAAGACACTTAACTTCTCTGAGTCTCAGTTTTCTCATCTGCAAAATGGAGATGAGAATAGCTACCTGGCAGAGTCACTAGGTACTGCAAACAGTTAACATGGTCAGCTGTTAACCCAGAGATTGGAGGTTTGAGTCCACTCAGAGGTGCCTCAGAAGAAAGGCTTAGCAATCTACTTCTGAAAAATAAGCTTCCGAAAACCCGACGGAGCACAGTTCTACTCTCATTCACATGGGGTCGCTATGAGCTGCAATTTGCTCCATTGCAACTGGGTTTTTTTCAGAATCATTGTGAAGAATAAAATGTGTAGAGAATCTACCATAGGGATCGAGAACAGGGAAGGCACTTACCAAATGGAGTAGTTATCATTGTTATCAACATCATCATCTTTGGATCTTTGAGGGAAGGCAGATGTACTGCAGTGGAAAGAGAGCTGGAAGTGGGGTGGGAGCCCTGAGTTTCAGCCCCTAGTCCTGCCCCTGTCTCACTCTAGGCCTTGACCTCCCCATCTGTAAAGAAGCCAGTTTGCAGGGTAGGCTGACTCTAGGTCCCAGCGGGCCTGGGCTGTCACAGTTCTCTCAGCTCAGGGATCGGGACTTGGGAGGAGTGCTCCTCTGCCAGCCCCTAAGGGCCCCTCTAGACCATCCCTCCTCTTCTGCTGTGATGCTCTGAGTGGTCTCCTAGAAGCCAGGAGGAGGCACATCGCCGCCGCTCCTTGAGTGAATCCCTCAGAGCAGCGGGGTGAGTTCTGGGTTCACAGAGAGTTATTTCCAGCTGGGAACATAATCTTACGCTATTGATCATAATAATGACAGCCACTTTCCCCTCAGTTTCTGCTCTCCAAAGCACCTGTGATCTGCTGCTTTGCCTAGTCCTCCCAGAGGTCCAAAGAAGAGACTTTTTACCCCTTTTTCAGAGGAGGAAACGGTGCCACTGGGCAGGACAGCAACTTGCCCAAGGTCAAAAGTCAGGGCCAAGTTGGGACCAGAGCTCAGCTTCCTGTCTTCCAGCCAGAGATAAAAATCACCTCTTTTTATTGACACTTAGAACATCAGAGCTGAAGAATCCTTGAAGATCTAAACATCTAAACCAAGACCTCCTTGTACAGGTGGGGAAACTGAGGCACAGAACGGGGTGTGGGCTTCCCTCAGTCCACAGAACAGCAGCAGGCTCCCCTGGCCCCACAGTTCTGCTGGCCATGCTCAGTGCCCAAGGAACTCTGTAGCTGGTGGCCTGCTGGGCTCACAGAGGGCTTGGCCCTGAGCAGGACCAGCTTTGGGCCAGGGCAGGCACTGGCTATAACCTCAGCTCTGTGGCTAATTTGTGGAATATTGTCCACACCCCTTTCTGAGCCTCGGTTTTCCCATCTGTACGGAGAAGGCTTGGTTTAGATGTTTAGATCTGCAAGGATTCTTCAGCCCCGATGTTCTATGTGTTGATAGAAACCAGGAGAGAAAGGATTTTTGTCTCTAAAGTTGGCCACATCCCCTCTGCCGACCCTTTCCCTGGGAGTGTGTGAGTTGCCAGTGCCCACCACCCCCAGGTACATAGGTTGATTTGCCACCCTCCTGGGGGATGCCATTTAGACTCGGGGAGATGGACCCCAAGTGTTGGCCACAGATTGCTCAACTCAGCATTGGTCAACTCCATAGTGTTATAACCCAAAAAGATGCCTTTAGCTGCATTAACAAGACAAATGACCAAAGACTAGAAACTCAGGGCAGGGTGGTGGGGGGCTCCTGTCAGAGCCAGGGACCATTAAGGCCCTGCAGCCCAGAGTCACCCTCCAGGCCCCCAACCTGGTCATCTTTACCTTCCAGCAGGGCAGCCCCTGCAGACCCACCTGCCACGCTGTGTGGTTGGTGGCGAGTTCACGGCCTCTTTGCGGATCCTAAGGTTGCTGCACCAGGGTCCTCAGATGCCAAGCTCTCTGGTCAGGCTCTGGTCTGTGCCCCCCTTCATTCCCACCACAGCCTGCAGTCACCACTCCTGCTGCTTGTCAGCTTCCAAGATGCCTGCCTAGAGAATGCTTCATATATGGCTCATTCCCTTTCTGTCCCCTTCAGGAACCTGAAGAAGCCACTTGGAAAATTAGATTTGCTCAGACCCCAGGGCTCCGGAGAGCCATGCGGAAAGGAAGAAGGGAAGGAAGGGGGGAGGGAGAGAGATGGGGGCAGTGGGCAGGAGGAAGAGAATGTCTTCAGCACTTGGGACAGCTCCAGACCCAGCTGAGGCTCCCAGGAGAAAGGAGGGGTGGGCAAGCTGTAAAGAAACCAGCTTTACTGAGCATCCACTATGTGCCAAGCCCCGTGTTGGGCACTACTCATACCATCCACTGAGACCAGTATTATCACTCCCACTTTATAGATAAGGAAACTATAGCCCAGAGAGGTTAGGTAATTTGACCAAAGGCACAGAGCTAGTGAGGGGTGGAGCTAACTGTAGGTCCAAGCTTGTGCTCACCACACCACACTGACTCTTTGAGACTTAGAATGGAGATTTTCTATCTTCCCTTTTGGGGTAGATCTCGATTTGTTCCAAGAGATTACATGAGTTTCCTCGGACTCCCATAACATAGTACTACAAAATAGGTGCCTTTGAACAACAGAAATTTATTGTCTCCAAGTTGTGGAGGCTAGTAGCTCAAATTCAGGATGTCAGCAGAACCATGTTCTCTTTGAAGGCTCTAGGAGAAGATCTTTTCTTGTCTCTCCTGGCTTCTTGCAGTCCCACGCTTCTTTGGCCTGTAGGTGCATCTTCACATGGACATCTTTCCTCTGTGTGTCCCTGTGTCTCTTCTCCTCTTTTATAAGAACACCACTCAGATGGGAGTAGGACCTGCCCGACTACGGTATGACCTCATATTAACCGCTAACATCGTCAAGGACCCTATTTCCAAACAAGACCACATTCACAGGTACTGGGAGATAGGACTTCAACATATCCTTTGGGGGACATAATGCAATCCATTACAAGAATGAAGATTCCTCTTGGACACTTGGGGCCATAAACAATCACTAGGGACATTTTTTTGGATGGAACGAGGTATTTGCACTGCAACCAGGAGGAAACTCTGGGGTCTGCAGGCCTTGGTTAAATCTCCAACCCATAAATCATCTCTGACTGACCTTGGGCAAGCCACTTTGCCTCTCTGAGCTTCAGTTTCCTTGTCTGCAAGTAGGTTGAGATGCAGCTGCCATCCACTTCTCTCTAGTACAGGCAAACCATGCATATCCACCCATAAACAAGGTCCACACTTTTTCTTCCTCCACTGACTGACTGTAAGAAACTCCCCATGAACTCATGGGTATGGGTTGAGGGAGAAGTGGCAAAAAATAGGGGTAGGTACTAGGGCAGTCTGAATCATTTGCTTGGTCTCATATACGTGACTTGATTTTATTGAGGAATGCTGCTGCACAAGTGCAATCTTACGGTTCTGTGGGCCAGATAACACCCAGTTCATATTGTCAGTTCTGCTAGCACTGTCACTTGGTGTTCTGTGGTCAAGCATGAAACTTCTATCAGGACCAGGAGCAAGTCAAAAGCTGCTTTTCAAATGGACAAAAGTTGTCCACAGAAAAGAATACGACTTTACTCCAAAATCCTAGCAGTCTGCATTGTGATTCTCCTATTGGAACCTGTAAGAAGCTCCATACAGCATCTCTGCTGGCCGTAGATACCATTGGGTCTGCTGGTTCATAAGGCTCAGGTGGCAGGGCAGCTTGCATTGCCACATAAATCTGCTGCAGAGCGCTTTCTTGCTCTTGGCTCTACTCAAAACTGGCAACTTTATGGGCTATCTGATAAATGGGTCAAGACAACACACCTAAATGTGGTATAAGTTACCTCCAACATCCAAACAGGCCCACCAAGCACTATGCTCCTTTCTATGTGATGAGTGGTAGAAGGTGCCACAGTGTGTCTCTTGCTTTATAAGGGATATTCCAACATGATCCTAGGGCAACTGAACCCGTAGAAACTTCGTCAATGTGACATCCTCCTGAATTTTTCCGGGATATATTGCCTACTCTCTGGCGTAGATTATTAAGACATCTAGGATTCTGGCTACTTCTTGCTCACCAGATCCAATTAGCAAAATGACATCATTATAATGGACCAGCATGATGTTCTATGGGAGATTAAGCTGCTTGAAGGTCCCTTCATACTGTATTATAAGGAGCTCTGGTGGCACAGTGGGGCCCTAGAGGTGCAGTAGTTAAGAGCTCAGCTGCTCACCAAAAGGTCGGCAGTTCAAATCCACCAGCTGTTCCTTGGAAACCCTATGGGGCAGCTCTACTCTGTCCTGTAGGGTCTCTATGAGTCGGAATCACCTTGACGGCAACAGTTTTTTATTTTTTTTTTGGTGGCACAGTGGTTAAGTGCTCAGCTGCTAACTGAAAGATCAGTGCTTCGAACTTACAAGCCACTCCACAGAAGAAAGATGTGGCAGCCCACTTCCATAAAGATTGACAGCCTTGGAAACCCTATGGGGCAGTTCTACTCTGTCCTGTAGAGTCGCTGTGAGTTGAAATTGACTTGACAGCAACCGGTTTTTTTGTTTCTTTGTTTGTTTGTTTTGCTCTCTATTATGACAGAGAACTGGAGAGTTGACATAGCTCTGGGGACAAAACAGTAAAGGCATACTGTAGTCCTGAAAATCCCTTTTGATTTTCCTTACTGATAGGAATGGCAAATAAAGCATTTGCCAGGCCCTTGGCTGCATACCATCTGTCAGGCTGTGTTGATTTGTTGCAGTAAAGATATTGGAAATAGCAGCTCCACTTGTCACCCTCTGATTAAGTTTGTGATAATCTGTTATTATTCTCCAGGACCCATCTGGCTTTTGTAACAGTCACAAATACAGGTAATAGGAATTATTACCCCTGCACCTGTCATGTCTTTGATGCAGGCACTAATTTCCGCAATTTCCTGCGGGATATGGTATTGCTTTTGTTGTACTCTCTGGGAAGGGGAAAGGTAGGTGGGGAGCAGTTTCAGGGCCCCCACCTGACACTTTCTACCATAATAGTCCTCAATCCACAGGTCAAGGAACCAATGCAGGGATTCTGCCAGTAGCTGAGCATATCTATTACTATCATTCATTCTGGGAGTGGAGAAATAACCACAGGATGGATCTGTGATCCCACTGGCCCTCTATCAGATCCATTACTACATATTTTACCTGAACTTCGTTAAGTTCCTACTCTCTATCAGGGGATTTCAGGGTTTTGGTTTTCAGGAGTGGGTGACACAGCCCTGTCTAGTAACCTCCTGGATGGTCTGGGTAGTAGTTTCCTTTCCCCAGAGGATAGTCACCCTGATAAATGGCCACAGGTCCCTTTGGAGGAAGATTCTGATTAAGGGAACTCTGAGCCTGTGAACTGGCTTTGGTCTGGGAACAGGGTAGGAGGCAATGCATCCATCCGATGGTGACTCAAGATAGGTTTCTGCCCTGTAGACCTAGAATTTTTCTTACTATAGCCAAGAAGCTTCACCAAATGTAAAGTACAGATAAATCACATCCATGGAGCCTTCCACAACTTACAGGATAATAATGATAGCAAACAGAGAGTGCCTATTACATTTTCGGCACTGCTCTAGGTGCTTTGCATACATTTACCCTCATTTCGCCCTCACACTCCCATGAGATAGGACAGGCCTTCCCTGTCTCCTTCATTGCTGGGTCCCCAAGTGTCTTAGTTTCCTAGCGCTGCTATAACAGAAACACAGCAAGTGGGTGGCTTAAAAAACAGAAATTTATTTTCTCACAGTGTAGGAAGCTAGAAGTCCAAATTCAGGGCACCATCTCTACAGGGATACTCTCTCTCTATCCAGGCTCTGGGGGAAGATCTTGTCTTGTCTCAGCTTCTTTAGCCCCAGAGTTCCTCAGTTCCTTGGCAATCTCCACTTCACATGGCATCTATCTCCCCCCGTTTGTGCTTCTTGTCTATGTGCCTAATCTGCTCTTTTTATCTCTCAAAAGTTATTAGGTTTAAGACACAGTCTACACTAATATGGCCTCATTAACATGACAAAGAAAATCCTATTCGCAAATGAAATTACATCCACAGGTATAGGAGTTAGGATTCCAACACATATTTTGGGGGAGGGGACCCAATTCAATTCATAACATCAAAACTCAGCTTGGCGCATATTAGATACACGATAAGTATATGTTAAATTATCATCCCCGTTTTGCTGATGAGAAAACTGAGGCACAGAGGTCATGGCAGCAGCATCGGAACCCAGACGGAGCATGCTCGGCAGCTGTAGGCTTGGGCTCTTGGCGGCAGAATTCGGTAAATCCAAGATCCAGCTTCCAAAATGTGGAAGCTCTTGGCCACCCTCTGCTGCCTGGTGGCGCTGACCAGTGCCCAGAGCAGACTATATTTCCATCCCCTGTCAGATGAGCTGGTCAACCATGTCAACAAACATAACACTACATGTCAGGCTGGACAAACTTCTACAATGTGGATATGAGCTACGTGAAGAGCTGTGAGGCACCCTGCTGAATGGACACAAGCTGCTCCACAGAGTTCACTTTGCTGAGGAAATTGATCTGCCTGAAAACTTTGATGCCTGGGAAAACTGGCCAAACCGTCCAACCATCAAAGAGATCAGAGACCAGGGTTCCTGTGGCTCTTGTTGGTCATTTGGGGCTGTGGAGGCCATTTCTGACTGGGTCTGCATTCACATCAGTGGGAACGTCAATGTGGAAGTGTCTGAGGAGGACTTGCTCACCTGCTGTCACATGGAGTGTGGGGACGGCTGCAATGGGGGCTTTTCCACTGGAGCTTGGAACTTCTGGACCAAGAAAAGGCCTGGTTTCCAGTGGTCTCTATGACTCCCATGTAGGCTGCAGACCCTACTCCATCCCTCCATGTGAGCACCACGTCAATGGCTCCCAGCCCCCATGCAAGGGAGAAGGAGGACAGACTCCTGAATGCAGCAAGACTTGTGAGCCTGGCTATTCCTCATCCTACAAAGAAGACAAGCACTACAGATATAGCTCCTACGGCATCCCTTCTTCTGATGAGCAGATCATGGCTGAGATCTATAAAAATGGCCCAGTAGAGGGAGCCTTCTCTGTGTATACAGACTTCCTTGCGTACAAGTCTGGAGCGTACCAGCATGTGACTGGAGAGGAGGTGGGAGGCCATGCCATCCACGTCCTGGGCTGGGGAGTGGAGAATGGCACCCTCCACTGGCTGGCTGCCAACTCCTAAAACACTGACTGGGGTGACAATGGCTTCTTTAAAATTCTCAGAGGACAAGATCACTGTGGAATAGAATCAGAAATTGTGGCTAGAATCCCATGCACTGACCAATACTGGAAAAAGATCTAATCAGCTGTGGCCCTGTCCAACCAACCCTGGGGGAGTTTTCCTCTAAATATAGCCATTTGGGTTGGGAATAGGAAGTGGGGGAGTGGGAATGTCTTTTATTTTTTGAGTTCAGATAAGATATAAGAGGTTTTAGACAGTGGCTGATATGCTTCAGGGCCTAAAGGACTGGATTGGGCCAAACCTTGTGTCTACTATTGGAGCTGATATTTTCTGGGGTAGACAGAGCTGTCTTCCATGGAAGACAAATCTGAATCCTAGCTACCTCCCAGCCTGTTCAGTGGACTGATCCTCACAATGCAAACAGACCATGTAAGCCACTGCTGAAAGCAAAGTGAGCTCTTTCCCCACAGACTAGTACTGTCAGTAGTGCCTGCTGCTCCAACTCCTGCTGCAACAACCCTCCACACCCTCCCCACCAGCACATCTCCAGAGAGCAAGACAGAGTGAGGACCTAAAGGGTTTGGCTTCTGGTTTTCCAAAGGAATGGAAAGTGTAATTCCTAACAAGCAGTACCTCTAAGCAGTATCTTTCTAGAATAGGTTGAGAGGAGAAATCGTGGGGGCAGCCCTTGGAAGAAAGCCACATTCTCCCAGGGCCCCTGTATCTGTTGAGCTTTGCAATGTTGCAAATTTTCTCTGGTCTTTTCTGTGGCATGATTCTTTTTTAATAGACATTTTATTTTTAATGCACCTCAACCGATCATGTAAATGCACAGTTGTTAAGTTAGAAGACCTGTGTTCGTTTTACAGACTGTCTCCCAATGGTGTGGTTTAAAACTGGGTAGTCATGATTTGACTGACTGACCTACCCACCTCTAACACCATGGTGAAGCTAGTTTGGGAGAAACTACCATTTACTTTTTTGTTTTTTTAATCACTGCTTCTCCTATCAATTTAACAAGGAACAGAATAACTGTGCCAACAAAAGCTTTCTCCTTCAAAAAAAAGAAAAGAAAGAAAGAAAACTGAGGCACAGAGAGGCTATTACTTGCTGGAGCCCACACAGCCCCTAAGCGCTGGGATTTAGAACCAGACAGTCTAGCTCCAGAGTCTGTGCCCTCAACCCCATTTTGTGCTGCTTCTTAACAGAATGTCAACCACCATTTCATCTTTCTTTTCCCGGGAAAACTTCTCCAAATCCTTGTATATTCTTCATATGGGTAATAACCATGGCAGGTGGCACGTATATGACACTGTGATATTCTTACTTCGTTTAAGGCTCATTATAAACCCTACTGTGTAAGGTTCAGAGGAGTGGGGGTCTTTCCTGTCCTGTTCATTGCTATCTCCCCAAAGCCAGATCTGGCACATAGTATACACACAGTAAGTGTATGATGAATCAGTTAACTTTACGGATGAGCAATGGAGGCTGAGAGAGCTTAAGAAACTTGCCCAAGGTGGCAAGCTTAGTAAATAACAGAGCCGTGATTTGAATCCAGTCCCTTTCTCCAAAGACTGTTCCTGCTGCACCATGCTATCTGGTCTCTCTGAGCCTCAGTTTCCTCATCAGTTAAATGGAGATCCTAAAGCTCTTAGGGTTGTTGGGGGGATAAAGGCTATAATGAATGTGGAAGTGCTCTGCAAACAGGAAAAGGACATACATATGTGAGGCCTCCTTCTTTCCTTCTCTCAGTCACCGAGGTCTATGCAGGGACTGGAACAGCACAGGAGCTGGAGACTCTGCAATGAGAGGCCAAGTAAACAAGGTGATACCAATAGGACATTAGTGAAACTGGGATGGATGCATGGATAGATGGATGGACAGATGCGTGGGTAGGTGGATGGGTGGGTAGATGGACAGATGGTGCATGGATGGATGATGGGGGTGAATAGATGGTGGATGGATAGATGGATGAGTGGGTGAGTGGATGAATGGTGGATGGATGGATGGATGGATGGATGGATGGATGGATGGTTGGATGGATGGATGGGTGAATGGATTGGTGAATGGTTGGGTGAATGGATGAATAAATGAAGACATAAATGCCCTTTTGAAATAGACATTTATGTATCAGCACTGACTCAGGCTGGTATTTTACCCTTTATCCAGCAGAGGGCACCAAGCCTCCAATAATTGACCTACACTATCATTTCTTGGTGGTCAAAAGCTCAGCCTTCTGTAGAAGGGTTCATCTGTAGCCAGAAGTGGGCAAGGCTGGAAAGCTTGTTGGAAGCTCTGGCTGGTGAAAGGCTGGAGACACAGAGGACTGTGTTAGAGTCCATGCGGTGCAGGAGCGAGATGGTTTTAAAGCACAAGCTTAGCGACAGATCCCGGTGCCCACTTCCTGTTCTGAGGTCCTCAGTGAGAAAGAGTACTTCACACCACAAAGCCTGTTTCCCTTTTGTAAAATGGTGAAATAAATGTACCTTCTAGATTGCTCATGAGGATTAAATGAGATACTCTATAGAGAGTGCTTGGTACACTGGAGACCTTCAAGAATTTTGCAGGTGAGGCATCTGAGATTTATGTGACTGACCCAAGGCCACCTAGCAAATACAAGGTGGAAAATAAAGATAATCTCTGAGGATCCTCATGAGATTTCTATGAGAATAGAGAATGTTCTACTAGTATAAAAATGGCTGCTGGGGAATGAAGACAGTTCTAGAAAAATTGCAGAAGTTTTGTGGGGAGAAGCTTCTCTGGGGCTGGGGAAGACTCCTGGAGGCTGGCGTTAGGTGAGCCCCTCCCTCCACATGGAGTGGATAATGCCAAATACATGCTTAACAGCTGGACCAGGTGCAACTCAGTAATGTGGGAAATTAACCTTTAATGTAAAACTTGACTTGTGCCTTCCCAGTGGCTGGGTGTGAATTTGCCATCTTAACAGAGTGTTTCAGGAAGCTGGGTTTTTCCTTTGGTGTGTATTTTATGTGTTGCTGTCATTTCTGAGCTCTGCCTGGGATTTATCGAAGGGACTGGGCCTGGCTGCGATTGCCTGAGAATGAGCTTGTCGACAGGCAGCGCCCTACAGAAACCCAAGCCCAGTTGTACACGGCTTCAAAAAATAAACAGAGAGAAAACCACCTCCCATTTCCCTGGAGCAAGTGGCTGTGCTGAGCTGACAGACTGTCGCCCTCAGAACACAAAACAGCAAGCGAGTGGGGGTTGGGCTTCGGGTTGTGAGCTAGTCCCCTGGCCTGGGCCATGACTCTGGCCCTGAGGTGGAATATTGTCCACACTGAATGCTCGTATTTCAAAAAGTGACTTGCAGAGGCAGCCCTGGGTTGTTTTTGTTGTTGTTGGTTGCTGTCAATTCCGACTCATGGCGACCCCATGTGTG